TCCCACTGTCTGTGATGTTTTCAGAGTTTTCAGAGTCCTATTTTCAGTTTGTTTACATCGTCAGGACGGCCGGCTGACTCCTCCCCTCACGTATAAAAGTTGTTTAATTGAGGGACTAGAGAAAAGAAGAATAACATACTGTACTCACTGCTTAACTGTGTTTCTAGATCACGCTCATTTCAGGTAAATTTACATGCAGTGTGAAGATACGAGCATAATAAAGATCGCTAGCATTAGCATGCTAACAACAATGCAGCGCGAGTTGTTTTGGTTTCATGCTGGAGCTCAAGGGCGACATCTGCTGGATCAAAAATTGTATATAAAGCCTTTAAAGCACCATAGCTCTATTACACATATTCTGCTATGGCCTCCCTTAGTCTGGTTTGAGGCTAATTTTAGCTTAAACAACCAAATTAAGGTACATTTTTATTTCCTATTTGACATTTCTGAGTCACCTAACTGACTGTTTCTCCTTTTGCCACTGTTGCTTTATCTTATCATTCATCATTTACCCACATTTACTTGTTTCTTGAGGTTGCTCTGGCAAAAACTTGGCTAATTCCTACCCTTCATTTTGACACAATAACTGACTGAACCATCCAAAGTGCGATTATTTTTTTTCCTGCAAAATATTTAAACATGATAAAAGTGTAACATTACCTAACATAGTTATGCATGTAGATGATTCTAAACAGTTCTAATGATTTGAACAATCTGAATGCACCACAGTGGAAAAACACTGCGGTTTACAGGAAGTGATGCATTTGATGTTATCAGATTTGTTTGGATTAAATGCTACGGAGCGGGAAATGTGCAGACTTAGACCTTAGAAACAAAGACTTGGAAACAATGGTGTCTGGCTGCAGGAACCAACTCTGTTGACTCCCAACATGTTAGAAAGGGAAAACCCTGATACAGCCACACATGTCGAGGAAATGAGAAACGCATTGCAAGGATGACCACTCGAACACAAAATGAATATCCATATTTTTGTCGTCCTATTTATACCCATACTTAGTGGTATTGAGTTCTAATCTCTCAGTAAATCAATGATGTTCAGGGTGTGGTCATTCATCACTGTCTGGAATCTATAGCAGCTCTTCCCAAAACTCTCTCCTCCCCCCACTCTTCTCTTTTTTTGGTCACAGTGAGTAACTCTTAATGTGATAGGTCTAAGGAATGCTGTGAATAAGAAATGATTAACCATGAGATGTGAGTTTATGTACATGTGAGGGTTTGACTGAGGAGGCAGAAACTGTTTTAGCTCATTAGTCCCTTGTAGTAAATTGAGGTTATCTCTGGAGTATGGTTCATATTGCACTTCAATAATTATAAACTTTAATAAATGATAAACGTTATCAGCACAGGCTTTTAAGATGGTTTTGCATCTTTAATGACTCAGCCTGTGTGTCTTGCGCAAACGGAGAGATTAGGTTATAGCTCATGCAGGTTGCCACACCTCGTCCTTCCTCCATGCCTCAGCGAAAACACAGCACGCTGTAAGAGGAAGAGGTGTGTTCAGAGCCCTACCCACGATGTCCTTATACACACTAACGCCACTAAATACACACTCCCACATCACTCACAGGGACAGGCCCAGACTTCATAGCCTACAGGCACCGTTTGAAATGAAAGGAATAAAGTGAGCGAGAGAAAAAGGAGGAGAGAAAAAAAAAAGGAGGAGGAAAAATAAGGGCAGAGCTGAACTCTGATGAGGGAGTGAGGAGGTTGAGAGAAATCATAGGTTTGTGAAGTGCTGGCCACAGGACTGCATACTTTGGGACCAATCGAGGGCCAGTGGGACAGATAGCGAGGAAAGCTGAAGTTTGCACATCAAGGATATTTTATCATTAGGATTTATATTGTGTTTGCTGACAAACGGCAACAATGAACTCTCAGCAGCAGAGGTTCAGGAATTTCTCGTCTGACAGCGGGGGCAGAGAGAGGGTGCCCTCAGACGATGGTTACTACCAGGGGATGCTGAAGGCTACGGACGGCAGAAAAGGTATCAGTGTGGTGGCAGTTTCTGGAAAATAGCTTAATTGGTCTTGATCTATTTGTTCCTGTTTGGGTGAGACATAGCTGGGGAAGAATTAAGTGTGTGTTTTTTTCCAAGGAAGAGGTGAGAGGAGTAATTCATGTTATATTAGTGTTGGAGGTTTCTGCAGTGAGGACTTTTTTTTGTTTTGCTCAGCATGTTGTAGGCATGAACTTTTACAACTGTTGAATGTCACACTATAATTTACTGCTGTATTCAATTTGAGCTCAAATTTAGCAGACCTTGTGGTTGTACTGTATTGTCCGGTGTTTCTTCACTCTCAGATGTGAAAAGAGGATACTCCCCTTTTCTAATGCATCAGCAGCTTCCTCACTTTGTATTGGTCAGCGAAGCCCATTCACAATTTCTGTTGTGCAGCGTGTGTGTGTGTGTGTGTTTGGGTTAGTCACTGTATAGCTACAGACTACTTCCCCTTCAGTTGTACTGTAGCTGTGGTGAATAATGTGTTTCATTTCCCTCCTTATTTTAGTCACTTTGTTCCTTTTTTTCCAGAATTCTTCAAAGTTGCTGCACTTGTAGAAAGGAATCCTTTAAATAATTAACATCTTCCACAAATTGACTACTCTTACATGGTTTTAACTTTAAAGCCATCTGAAGGCTGTTACCCTCATTAAGGAGAGCTGGATCCTGCCATTGTTATTATCTGTTTGCTTTCTTCTTGTTTCTCCTGATTTTAACAGTAGGCTGGAAAACAATTGACCAGTGGTGGACAAAATGATAGCCCTGCTTTCAAACTCACACTTAATAAGTAAAGTATAAATCAAAGAATGGGCTTAAATATGAACCACGAGTATTAATGCTCTAATAATGCATTGTGGAGCTTAATTAACTGGAGTATGGATCATTTTTATTTCTAAGATTGGATCACATTTTTTTAGCTAATTATATATTCTGCATGTACAGCCTTCATCTGCAGAGTAGTTACTATTGCTGTCAGATAAATGAATAGTATGACTCTAAAATGTTGACATTAAAGGTATAAAGTCATTTACTAAGTACTTTTAACCCTACCGTTGACTTCCATGCAGTTCTGTGCTGGAGACATCACACTTCATTGAAACCTGTTTGTGCTGATATTTGATACTGAAGTTCACTGGGCCTCTATACACACGCATACCCTCCACTTATAAAGAGCAAACGACTCCATAAAGAGTTTCAGTGGTTGAAACCTGATCAGGTAACGTGCTGTGAACAGAGTTCAGGGGACCTAAAGGGGTCAAGGTGCAACTTCTCCGGAGAACTGTGTTGTTTACATCGGCATTTAACAACATCCCAGAGATTCTACTGTAACTGTACATCACACTTCCACTCTGGGTGACATTTTTAAACCTGCTGACTGCTGGAATAGAACCACAGGGAATACAAAGTCAAGCTTTGGTTTAAATGATAAATGAGGAGGTTAAAGGTCTGGGATGTCTGTGTGGGGTTACCATGGCAACGTAGTTCCATAACACATTTGCAGAAGTCCTTGTTGACACCCTCCTGAGAAAACAAACATAGCCTGTGGGCGTCGGTTTAGCCTTAGCATTGAATCACTGCCCTTTGCTGTTCATTGCTGGGTGTGTGGCTAAACTGAAGATGGTTTGATTGCTCCCTTTAAGTGATAAGACAGAGGACTTTGAGTTCTTTTTAACTAGAGTGGGAATGACTGCTGTGGGAGTCATTAAAGAAGAACATTCCTGAACCTGTTAAAAATGGTCTTCTTCTTTGTCACAGTGTCACGTTTAATCCTGTGAAATTCAACTCAGTTTTTAGATCCTGCAGGTCGACATCAGAGAGATGAAAACAGACCGATGTGTCCATAATAAATGTCGCAGTGACACACCTTGTGTTTTTTTTTTTACTTGAATCCAATAACACATCACTGGTTGGGTGTATGCAGGTTAGTTTTTTTCTCAGTAGGTGTGGTCCTTTGCCAAGATCTGTTGTTTCTTGTTGGAAGATCGCACTCTAATAGTTATGCCAGCCAGGTCTTGTGATAATCGTACAGCATGTCTTCACGCATCCAGAACATTTGCTGAAGGAATCCTTTTGTCTCTTAAAAGTACAGCTGGCGATGGTGTCATGATCTGACAAATACAATGTTTTCAGAGACAATAAGGGAGCATCTGCCCACAGTGAATGAGTTCTGATGCAGTCTGACTCAGATGCAGGCGTGCACAGTCAAGAGGCTTTTTTATATCCACCCAGAGATTAATCTGTTTGCTCTGCATTGTCTTGTATCTCAGGGATTTTCCTTTTCTTTACTGATTTTACTTATATTAAATTCCACTTCCATAATAAAAAAAATACATCAATAGCATGCTGTTTATTTCCAGCACTTTTCGCACCTAACCTTCAGTGCGTAGTTTAAAAATGTTAATGTTAACACAAACATATATTTAATCTTTGATAGGGCCCGACCAATATGGGATTTTTGGGTCTGATACCGTTATTGATATTTGGAAGGGGAAAAAAAAAAAGATACCGAAATATCAGCCGATATCTTCTTAGATCTATGTTTGATCTGCAGAGATAGATAGATAAATGTATTGCGTTGATCTCTAAAATGCAGTTATCAAACACTTGTGGAAAAGATATATGTTGAAGACAAGATGGTCACTCAACTGGAAAGTAACTGTGCATGTACGTGCACCATCACTAGACACTCGAGAGTAATGATGTTTGTTGTAATCCATATAGCACACTCTGCTGGTGAAAGAGAACTGATGGGGTAATACATTGAAACGCAAATGAATGTATATTTTACTGGTGAATAAATCAAGTAATATCGGCGCATATCTGAGATAAAATTAGCCGATACGATAGTCTCTGGATTTGCTAATATCAGCCGATATTATCGGCTGGTCGATAAATCGGTCGGGCTCTGTTCTTGATTGGTTACAACTTGTTGCCTCTTCTTCTATGCCTTATGTTAAACTCTGGTTTCTCTGTTTTGCAGATGAACGAGATCGAGTACAGAAGAAGACCTTCACAAAATGGGTGAACAAGCACTTAATGAAGGTAAGGACCTGTGCTTGACTTTGACTCTTTCTTTTGATACTCTTAAAGGTGTATTAACACTCAGATCCCTGCTCCAATATCCTGACAATGTCACGCTCCACAATCATTCACATTTAATCAGGTATGTGAGTTTAAAAGCATTTATAAGGTGTGAATAGATTTGAACTTTCCACAAACCTCATGCAAGAAGGTTTTTAACAACCAGGTCGGGTATCAAAAGGTAAAACTCCTCGTTTGTGGCCTGGGTCTGAATAATACAGTTAAACAGCAGATGTTCTCTCAGTGAGTCATCATACTTATTTGCCTTCAGGTGATTGAGTCTTTGATCAATGTTGCAACAAAACAAAAACCTTTGCATCTGAAAAATTATGCAGAAGTGCAGAAAAACTGTAGTTTCTCAAGAGGCCACCTGAGGCTAGCTCCAAAAGTGAGTCAATCTCCATAGAGCCCCAAAGTTAGATGCCAAACTTTACAGTAGAATTAAACATGTTTACAGCCTTGTACAGCTGCAGGAGAAAGAATTGCTTCATAATTCATCTTTTTGAATTGTATAATTATATTAAATTATAGATTACAGATTAAAGTTTTGCATGATTGTGGGTGTGGTCATAGGTAGGCGCTCCTACATAGCTGTCCACAAGGTGTCACTACAGCTCATGCTGTCTTTTTTTATTTACACAAATACAATTCAAATTATAGGGTTCGCTGTGCCTCGAGATCTCTGCATGTTTTTGTTTTTTCAGTGAGCCAGCTAATTCAGGTTTAGAATAGAGATGTGCACGATTACCTGACTTAATGATTACATGTCATCACTCTCACACCAAAAGGACTAATCTGTTAAACTAACTACATATATTCAGTTGAGTTTACCACTTGAACCGAGCACGTCAACAAAATCGTGGGTAAAATCACTTTGGGATTGATGTTTTTTACAGTCAATTAATACCACTAATTTTCTGCCTTCAGCAGCCATGATCAGGTGTAAATTAAGTAGGTTGGCCTGGTTTAATTTAGTGTTGGCAGGAACTTTAATTTATTGTTAATGTTTGACACTCAAAACAAATGTCATAGGGGATGAAGTCTATATAAGGTTTATGTAAGTTAATGAGCTCATGCTGGTTTAAACAAACACACGTCATCGAACAGAGTGACACAGATTTTATCCAAGCAAGTTGCAGGGTCATTGATTTACGATTACAGAGTTGTATGTCAGATTCCAAGCCTGCTTCATAATGTCGTGGATGATGTTGAATGACGTGACAGAATGATCTAAAATACGATCCTTTTGTATTTTAAGTGAGTCAAAGGAAATGACAACACCTCAATCCCTTCTTACATAAACACACATGAGCAAGTCAGTTGCTACCTCGCACCCCCCTGTTAACAATGCGTTGTAAAGAGGAGGCTAACCAGAAGTCCGGTCTGTCACCAACTGAGGGACTGTGTAAACTATCCATCAGTATCCATCCAGTCTCACCTACCTCACTCCACTGACCTGAAAGCCCCCTCCAATGCATCACATAGTCAGGGAGGTAAACAGGTCAGGATGGGGCCACACTCCTCACTCTGGAGTTTCTCATTAGGGGTGAAAAATTAACCACCATAACATAATAACTAACCCTCCCACACACAGGAGTAAAATATCCCTTTGCTTCCAGAAAACACTTGTACAACAGTATGACTTCCATATTTGAATTATCACTCCAAACACACAAGGCCATTCATTTTTTTTAAAGAATGGAACAAGAGGAGGGGGGAGGCACAAAGAGAGTTTTCATTTCCATTCAGCTACCACACTGTGAGAACATACAGAGTAGTTACTCCCTCTTGTTTCTCTTAAGTGTTCTCCGTCAATTTTAGAGGGTGAGTCACAAACATCTGGACTCACTTAGCCCCCTCTGAAAAGGCAAAATCTGGGCCCAGAGCCCACAGTGGTGAGTGCCTACGGTAGCACATGTGCTGCACAGACTCATGGGAGAGGGTGGCTACCTGCATGCACAACGGGCCTCAACTGGAGCCTTGCATTGATGCGTGAAAAGCTTCAAAAGTTTCAAAAATTCAAGTTTAGATTGTTAAAATTGTGACTTTTTATGAATAACGTAAAAAAACAAAAAAAAAAAAACAAACATATGAATGTCTTTGTCCAAGGTTTAAAATGTTTGCAGCACAAAAAGTAGAGTCTGGAGTGTTCTGGAGTTGACATTCAAAAAGGTAAAAAGCCTTTATTGAATTGACTATTTCTTAACAAAAAACCTGAAATTAAGGCCATGTTAAAAAACAAAAAGAAGCTGAGAATCAACCCACATGCATAGCGGTACAAACATCCTTCTTCAGGGTCTCAAAATTTTAAATTTTGCACATACTAACAGTTAGAGTCGTTGAAGAGAGGGGGTTTTCAGACAGTTGAGTAGACTTACAGCTGAAATGCATTTTTAAAAATGGACTTCAATGGTGGATTTTACTTATTTTACAATCATATACATTTATACAAATTGTTTAGTCTATTAAATATGTTAAAAATTAGAATAATATGCTGTTAAATCTCGGATCTAACTAATAATATGAAACTGTCCGGCTCTTCATGTATCGTCTTAGTTGACAAAGAAAGGCCTCAAGTCCTTACGTTGAAGAGGGAAGAAGCAATCGTTGCAGCCTTAATTCAAGATCTTACAAAAAAAAAGGTCCATTAATTAAGACAAGCATCATATCAAAGAGAAGGAAGATCTCTCAGACTTCAGTTATCTGTGGAAAAGACGAAGAAATTAGAAAAAATAACATATTCTGGGAAAAAAAGTGTTAACTCTTAATTAATGTGCGAAAATGCTCCCCTGATGTTAAACTGATGTTAAACTGATTTAATGACTGACCTGACAGGGGGCAGACTGTAGGTTAGGTACAGCCATGAAAAGCTGCAAAGGGCCATCGAGTGGTTTCCTCTGCAGAGTAAATCCCCAGATGTCAGAATAATTGGCACATTCCTTGAAGCTACATGTGATTAGATTAAAAGCCACTCTCATTGCAGAGCCAGCAATTTAAGATTCTACCTGCCTGTAAATGAAGGAAACCCCTGCAGAGCTTCAGAGGAAATGCACCAGAGGATGTAACCCTTACGTAAAACCTGAAGCATGCTAAGTGTTTGTAGGAAGGTCTGAAGGCCTGTGAGCCGTGTGTGCTAATCGTTTTCACCTTGAGAAGTTTACAGAACAGCTCCGAGAGGGCAATTTGTAGCATAACACCCGCCTTTCAGCAGTGACAGTGTGTGTGAGCGGGGGCCTCAGAGACCACCGCCTTTCAGTACAAAGTAATAGAAGAGTGGTGATAGATGGCTTTTGAGTACACACTGAGGAGACAGACTATTAGGTAAGCACAAAAAAATCATTGTTCGAACAAAGGAAATTAACCTTCACACACATACTTAGGAGGTTTAAAAAGCTTCACATGTGTGTTTGCAGCTCAGTAATACTGAAAACACTTGAAGCCATGATTGTAGTGGTTCATTACGGAACATTTTTACTTCTACAACAAACCGTCTGAAGTTGTTCCTTATATGAGTAGACAGTGACCTCTGGTGGTGGAACTGTTGTTTTCCTTCACTGCATATCGGATCCTCCTGCTTGTCTCTGCAGGCAGGGAAGGAGGACGTCTGAGGTTTGGATATCTGAGTTGAAATTCTTGCCAATATAAATCAGACACTGTTGTAACTTGCAGGGGGAAATTAATTCTCATTCCATTTGTGGGCTGAGGCCTCACTCACCTACATGATGAAACACATGCACATTTTTAAAATGTAAAAAAAACATCATCTTTCTGTTAAGAATTTCATTCTAAATGAATTAATCTACATTTCCATGTCATCCTACTAATTTCATTTTTGTTTTTAAATCTCTAATTTTTGTTTTCCTTTCTTTCCATTACTCATCCATGCGTTGTAATTCCTCCGTCTTTGATCTCTTTTTTTCACCCAGCATTATAGTGCCGAGGTAAGTGCCAGGGACTGTTTGAAAACGACGTCTGGTCATGAAGAACTTTGCATGAGGCCTGTCTCTTACCCTTTTTTTTTTTTTTTTCAAACGTTCTCCTCCTGTCTGTCTTTCTGTTTTCTTGCACCATTCACCGCACCTCACATGTTCTTCCACATGCACATGTTCTGTGCAGCGACACCACACCTCCGGTTTTTATACACATTGAATGCATTGTTGACGTTCAGTGACTTGATTTCCAAACGTTTTGTGAAGTGTATTAAGTGTGGTTGTGTTGTTCCTTGATTTTGAGGTTACAGTACCAGTGCACTTTTTCTTTTTTTTTCTTTTCTTTTTTTTACCCCACTGATCTGTATTTGATTCCCTTCTATCATTTATTAGCGATGACAGCTGCTGCTTGGTATTTAGAGCAGGAGTCAGGCTTGGCTGCTCACGGCGATGAATTCCACACCTGTGTAGAATTGCACTCGTGAAGAAACATATATAACACAGCTCAAAAAGAAGTTATTTCAACTCGTATTCAGTGTTTCTGTTACAGATTATTCGTTTGATGCTCTAAATTTGAACTCCAAAAATGAAAAATTGCAAATTATCAGGCTTTTCTTTTTTTTCTCGAAGTTTGAATGACATTCTGTGGTTTCAGAAAATCTCTGAAGAATTCTTAAAAGAAACAGTCTCTTGATTGGATGGAAGGAAATCTAAAAAAAAAATGAAACACTGAGCAAACAGTGTGTTATTCTTCAGTCAGTGCTAAAACAAATGTACCAACAGTTTGTTCTTAATTCCATTTCCACTTTGTCCTTGCAGTCACAGCGTCACGTCACAGACCTGTATGAAGACCTTCGAGATGGACATAACCTGATCTCGCTGTTGGAGGTTCTCTCTGGGGAAAAACTGGTGAGTGTCTTTTTGTTATTTTTATTTTTATCAGGGCCTTGACTATGAGAAACACCCAAAGCTCTGTATTCTTACCCCAATCATCCTTCATTTTCTTTAACCAAAACGTAATCCAAACTAATTACATGAGGAGCATTTATCCTAAATCTGAAGGTACATCATCCCCTCGGCAACAAGCTGTAACCAATCACACCGATGTGTCAGTCAAAGACATGAGCTCGACTTTGAGACTTATTTATTGGCCCTTGCTGCTCTTGAGTTTACTTTCGATCTGTACTTTTTGGCTCACCATATACATTTTTCGTCAGCTTTTGTTCAACTTTGATTTTCTTTCTTCTCATGGCCGACTGATCAGAATCATTTCAAAGCCAGCAGCAAGCGACTGCATCAGGGAAGCTTTTCTGCTGCTGTGGTTCATTGCATCTCCACAAGCTCCAGCTCAGCATCTTCATCACCTAATGCACTAACTCTTAACCTTAACCTGCTGTGTTGAACTATACTCCGATCTGATCTATTGCTTTCATTCTTCTTCTCTTTCCTTCCTCCTTTAACCCTCCTCTGTGTGTTCTGTCTGGCCTTCTCCTCCCTCTCTTTGCACGGCTCTCGCTCGAGCTAGCCAAGGGAGAGAGACATGGTCAGGAGCGTCCGGTTGGTGAGTGGGTCGATAACTATTACTGTAGATATCTTCATTTTGTCTTATTGTTTGTATTCATCCATGCTTTGCCACATGTGATTTGGCTGTGCATGATATCCAGACCTCCATGGCAAGTCAAGTCTTTTGTTGCCTTGTTTTCCTTCACCTTATTGACAGGCTTGCTTTGGGATTCAACCTGCAGGATACGTTTCCATTTGTCCACAAGCTTCTTCTTTTTTTTGCAGAATCTCTCCCTGCCCGTACATTGTTCATTTCCACTATTATAAAAAGGAAGCATTATGCAACATAATCTTACCTCACTTTGCTGTCAGATGACATTAATGATATAGACCCCGTGACTGACACAGCCACAGCCAATGCAAATTTCCTGTTGTGTTATGGTTAATTATCTCCATCAAGTTTCATTTTACCCCATATGCCAGGAATAATGGTTAAACAAAAGGATGAAGCCAAGGAAAACTACACAGTCTTCATATGTTCATTCAAGTGTGGCTGTGGCTTTACTGTAAATCTTAAATTTAGCCCATGAAATCAATTCCTAGTTATGCAATATTAAGGATTCGCCAATTATTCCCAATCTTTAAATGTTTTATTTTTATTTTTCATTCCATGAATTTCTCATTCCATTGAATACTTACTGTTCCGCTTGACAGGAAGTGTTCAAACGGGTCCCCTCTGACAGCGGGAGGTCATGTGACTAAACGTCTCCTTGTGTCTTTTCTCTCCTCTCCAGCCCAGAGAGAAAGGCCGCATGCGATTCCACAAACTGCAGAATGTACAGATAGCACTGGATTTCCTCAAACATCGGCAGGTGTGTACATACACAAGATACCTTGAACCTTAAAAAACCTTTGGAAATTTGAACGAAAAAATAATAATTTCATTGATGGATTGAACTTCTGTTTACTACTGTTACCATGCTTTGTCTTCTCAGGTCAAGCTGGTCAACATCAGAAACGATGACATCGCAGATGGAAACCCCAAGCTCACTTTGGGGTTAATATGGACCATCATCCTTCACTTCCAGGTCTCCTCATCTGTCAGTGTTGTTTTTTTATTGTATTATCGCTCTCTACATCTGTCACTGGGATCTACACCTGTCAGCTGCTGTTTCACATCTGCCTGGAACCAATCCCAACGGGTTCTGCTCCTCATAATTCCTCTTAAAAAAGGACATTTTCTAATCATCTCATCATATCATTTCCTGATCTTCTCGAAGAAAATGCAACTTTTATAATACACTGATACTCCATTCACATGTCCGGTCTGAAGTAGGTGATCTATGAGCAGTTTAAAGAACTGAAACACTGTCAGGGTGTTTAAGAATGAGTCACTCTCTGCCTGACTCCCAGGGGGAGGGTGTGTCTGCTCGAGTGTACAGCTTGTTGTCATGCTACACTCCCAACCACATCCCATGTACCCAGGCCTTTTCCTGCTTTTTTCTTGTGTATGCCAAGAGCTGACAGATAGAAATCCCTGGGTATATCAGCCCAATGGGCAGGGCCTTTAACATCACATGGCTCGGGTTGCAAAGGGCTGAAGGTAAGCATGAGAAAACAAAGGAGATGCTGGTGTTGAGAGGGGTTTTTGGTGAGGTAATCTGGTGATGGTGCCACTGAGTCCTGTAGATAAGATGTTCCCAGAGTCTTTATACTTTCATAGAATAGGGAGGATAATGAGTGGCTGTGGTTTTCTGATGAGTCACGGCGATCAAAGGGGATAGTGAAAGCCTCCTCTTCTAATATAATCTAGTGTTAAACCCCACATCATGATTATAACAATTTAGTTTTATTTACGGATTAAAATACATAATGTCAACTCTATAAAAGTTAAAAAAGAAGTGCACCAACATTATTAAAACATGGGTCACATGGGTGTGACTTTTTTATTGTTGGTAAAAAGTCTGCAAGAAAAGGGATATCATGTTAAAAACTAGACCCATAAAAAAATTAAAAAATATGTCCAGTTTCAGAATATCCTTAAATTTGGGGGGAAGAGTTTTTAAAAGAGGAAAAACACAATAAAGGAAAACCTGATGCCAGTGATTCATCATCCACACCTCCCTATGTCTCAAACGAGTGGTGATTTCCAGGCCAGGAGAATAAATCCTGCTAACTCCATAGATGGTTACTGGGTCAAAGGAAAGACAAGGGTTAATCAGGGGTGTCCAATCATTCCGCTCCTTTTGGTTTCCACTAATGACTAAACTCCTCAAATTTCCTTCAACAAGGATTAGTCACATCTTCTGCACATTATTCCACTCTTCTAACCTGTTATTCATATACCATCTCAGATCTCAGACATCCAGATCAATGGTCAGTCAGAAGACATGACGGCAAAGGAGAAGCTGCTGCTCTGGTCCCAGAGGATGACGGACGGCTACCAGGGCATCCGCTGTGACAACTTCACCACCAGCTGGAGGGACGGCAAGCTCTTCAACGCCGTCATTCACAAACACTAGTGAGTGGCCAATTCCAATTTGTGATTGTTAAAAAATAAATGTGCTGCACAATATACAGTACCTACTCTGATCTCAGGATGTAGTGATACCAAGCAGCAACCTCTGGTGTTTAAAAATGAAGTCAAAGCGGAAGTACAAAATCCTGCAGTTCAGCGAGGGTCCACTTGAGGCTTGAAGTCACATACACACCCCATTCAGTAAATCTTGTTTTTACTGTAGAAATTAACATGTTTACAGGCGGGCACAAAAATGTAAATAGGCCTGATTAGTAATTGTCCTCATGGGCGCACACTGTACGGGGAGTGATTTTTTTTATTACATACTTGTTATCCATACTTAGGCACATAGCTGACATGATTGACAGGTGGGTGCCATGTAACGGTTCGTCAAGAGGTTTAAAATCCGCCTCAGCTCCATCTCTCAGCCTGTCGTTAGGTTGACTGAAAGTTAGGCTGACTGAAAGTTAGGCTGAGACAGGATTTCCAACATGGCAACAGCTGCCGATGATCCTCCAGAGCCCCCTGCTGTAACAGATGGCTGACGTCACTCAGGCTTTGTCCATTAATAATTACAGTGTATGATTGATACCTGAATCAACTTCGGTTATAAAAACAATGACATGGCTTTTTCATAATGTGCTATCTGGTTAACTTTAATGGGACGTAATTAGCACTTAGTATTAAATGATTCAACACAGAGACTCCTTACAGTTGCATGAACAGGGCTCAGAATAATTGAGCACTCTTGTCTATTAAACTGGATTTTAAAAGTTAACTTTGCTATACTCTGCCCATAAAAAAAATAAAACCTTTTGACCTATTTTCAAGTCAGCACCTGACAGAACTGGTCTTAGGCAGATTTGATATTAACTGTATTAATGCCCTTTAGGCTAGAAATACCACAGACAGGCGTCTGCCATGAGTAAGACAGTCAGACCTTTGGGTGATCATTTTCTCAATCACGTTTGGTTAGCTCTCTTGGGACTTTTGGGAACCTATAGTGATAAAAAAAAGTAAATGAAAACATAAACATACTCACTCCCCTGAAGTTGTTTTGTGTCTTTAAAGTGGAATTAGCGGTGAAGGATTGCTTTGTGTAGCAACATCCTGAGAATTGAATAGACTTTTTATTCTCAGGAAGATTTGTCAATAAAGTTAAGTTTGCTTTTTAGACATTTTAACAAAGAGGGGTTTTAGAAACCAGAGAGCAAACAGTTATAGCAGAGAATGAAAATAAGAGAAAGTGAAATGTTCAGAGACGTTCTTCTTTACAGTCATTCTCAATGGCAAGAAAGAAATGCCTGCAGGGGCAGGTTTCCTTCAACTTGGACATGTACCTGCAACTCTTTCTTCTTTTTTGGAGACACCTGAGGCTGGATTAGAGCTGCCTTTCATAATGGGCAGGGGAGTGGTGTGTGGGCGTGGCTGTAGCACTCTGTGGCTGCTGCATGAACACTTTGGCGTTACTTTGTGCCCAGGCATTAGTGCAGATTTTGTGCTCATCATCAGAGTTTAAGATTGTCCAGGGCTTACAGATTAAATTTTAAGGCAACAGATGGACATCGGTTTTATGCAGAACAGCTTGACAAAGTCGCTGTGACTTGTCTGTGCCACTAGGAGGCTTTTTCATCACAACAACCCAACAGAAGGATTAGGAGGATCTTCACATGATGACAGACACCTGAGAAACACGTCGCATGGATTTACTAGATACCATTTAGACATAAAAAACACTTTTTCATCAAGAGTAGATGAATCTGTAAAACCAACCGCCAAAGCCACTGCACAAGGATCTTCCTGCAGATTTTTTAAAAATGCTCAATTTAAGGAAGAAGTCGAAGCTTAGGAAGCGGAGGCTGGGCTTCATTAGAGATGCATCAGGATCTGTCGGCGATATGGACACCCGGGTGGTCATGTTGTGCGAGGATATCCCATCAGAGACATCCTCTGGGGACTCAGGGCGGGGTTCTCAGAGCTCGGGGGCCCGCTCTAGCAGTGAGGAACTGGGCCATGGATTGAGGTCTCATATCTTTCATGGAAGGGAGGGCCAGAGCATGAGCAGCTCCTCCAGGCCGGTGAAGCAGTACTCGGTGCGAGAAGTTCGCCATGTGGAGTCTTCTCCTGTTTATGTACACAATCCAAGCTGTACCACTCTACACATCAGAGAGCTGTATGAAACGACACCTACTCTTACCCGTGCTGCATTCCCTTAAATATAGTCAATATTTCAGGTCTATGTACTTAGTGATTTTTGTCAATGCATTTGAAACTGCTGTAGCTGATGATGTCTATTGTAAAAGTGGTGTGATAGTAAAGGATGCATGCATAATAGAAGATACTCTGTGATGCTCTCAATCATGCTTCCCTGCACTCTGCAGACGTGAACTTTTCTCTCTTCTGGTAGTTATGATCGGCTCCAACTTTCATTATGGCTTTCATTATGCTAGATGCTCTTTAAATTAAATTCCCCCTATAGAAGCACTGACGTCTGCCAAAGAGACTAAAACACCCAGAGGACAGAAAAAGGCAGGTGCTTGTCAGATGATGAACAGGTGGACTTTTTTCAAAGCATATAGCCATTGGCAGAAGGTCTTAAAAAGCTCATACAGAGCTTTGAGAATATTTAATTGAACACCCTATAAGTGAGCAGACAGGAACACAATGCATTCCTTCTGTGTACATGTTACAGAGATGACATCAAGCCTTTCATGAAATCCCATTTGCCAAGCTTTCAACTTCTCGTCTAACCAGAACAGTAGTATCTTGCAGTGATCAACCCCTAAACGTCATATGCTTATAAATGACTTAAATTAACTTTAACAAGCTCTGCATGACACTTTACAGTTTTTAAGTCCCTTGAAATCATGTCAAAAAATAAATGTTGAGGATGTACCATGTACATGTATTTTCCAATTAAAAGTCTGAAATTTGATTTACATAAGGAACAGCTAGCTTGATAGTTTTGGATTTCTCACATTCAGCTCTATTGGCTACTTTACCGACAATCATATATATAAAAAAAATAGCTCCATTTTTAATAGAAACATGTTTTCAAGCATCAAGTAGCATTTTGCTAAATGTTTTTGTGAAACTTTTTGATCTCTAAAACTCAAAGGTCAATGAAGAGAGCACACATCCTTCAGAAACTATCCTTTGATGTCACTATACTTTAATTACAGCTTCAGGAATACTCAGTGCACTTAATATGGACTCACACAGCAGTTCATTGTCAGCCATCCAATCAAACTCAAATGACTCTTTTCATTGGACCTCTTGAGATAATGCAACCAAACCCTTCTCCCTTTCACTGTCATTGGTGATAATTTATTGTTGGTTAATTGTCCTTTTTGTTTGTTTGTTCTTTCTAGTCCCCGACTCATTGACATGGGCAAAGTGTACCGACAGAACAACATACAGAACCTGGAACATGCCTTTGGTGTGGCAGAGAGAGACCTGGGAGTGACACGCCTCCTTGACCCGGAGGGTAAGCCTAGCACCAAAAGTCAATTTGATCTGAAACATCAGACATGTGATGTGATTGGATCAGTTAAACTAAATAAATGTTAAATAAATGTATGCCTTTTTTTGCTGCATTTTCTACATTTTTGTCGTCTGCTTCCAGATGTGGATGTTCCACACCCTGATGAGAAATCCATCATCACTTACGTGTCATCCTTGTATGATGCCATGCCGAGGGACGTACATGATGGCAGAGGAAGCGTGAGAGCACCTTCTTTCATATAATGAATGTTTAAGCTTATCATGATACTGACGCCACAGTATGACCTACAAAACACCAGACCATTACCTACAAGATTTGTTATATCTATAAAGATATTGTTTTACGTCTGCTTATATTCCAATGTTGGGATTTACAGAGTGTAAACCAACAGAAGCTATTTTCTAACTGGAAAAGTATCACAGTGATCTGTACCTTTTAGCATCAAAAAGGACGCAGAAGGTGTTGTAGATAAGATATCACTAACCGACACCAAGACATACCTGAGACCAGAGAGCTCTGAGACAGAGACACAACCAAGACAAAGAAGAGAGAGACCAAAACAAGACTAAGACCATAAATATCACTGAAAAATCATCAACTTGTGTGCATGAGGCGTGTCACTCTCTTAGGCTGTAACATAGGGGAAGGTTGCATCCGTAACCTGGGAACAAAAATCTAATTATGAAAAGTTATTCCTTCTTTTAGAAAGGAGACATTTTTCTTCTAAACACAGTAATAATGTGGAAAATAGTCTGTTAGTGGTGTACACCCAGTCTGAGACCAAGACAAGACTGAGTAAAAAAAGCTTTTGATTCTGAGACGAGACCTTCAAAAAGTTGTCTCGAGACCGTTCTTGAGACCAAGAGCGCTTTGGAGCACTACAACATTAGACGCAGGACTAGATGTTTCTTTATATTTCACTACATTGTCTTGTACGGGACTGACACAGCAAAGAGATAAGTCACTGTGCCTTGTTGACAGGGGTTGCTGAAATCCAATCACATTGAAAGTTCCTTCAAACTGATTAAGACACATGTTATAAATAAATGTTGCCCAGTAAGATCTGATTGTAGGCTTGATCAGATTTCAACAAAAATTAACAGGCTTGTGACTCCACTTAAAAATCAGCTTTTATTGTCAGAGCGGTCCAATGCTTCAAGAACTAAAAGATAAAAAGAAGTCTTGTGAAACCAGGTATTGAGGGAAATTAGAAACCTGTGGTGTTTACAGTGTGGAGGCATAAGTCTCAAATGTGTTGTTACACATCTGTTCATGTAAAACTGAATGTATAGTTGTTTATGCATCCTCAGACTTTGTCATTGTGCTATGATGAGGCCTGAAATATCCTGAAATGAATCTTTGCATACACAACTTCTCACAAAGAATCCAGGAGAACGACACACTTGTGCTTCTGTCCGTCTGCCTCCCACCATTGTTTTCCTTCTTAACACTGTCTCCCCGACCTACTGCCCCCTCCGCTAACCTCCCTCCCTGCCCTCTGCCTTCCCTGTGTATTCACACAAGACTTGGATTGTTGCTACCTAATTGAGTTAAGTGTGGTGTGTGAATGATAGGACACAGAGCTGCAGGAGAAGAAGAGCCCTCCTGTCTGTTGTTGTTTATCTCCCATCTATCTTTTTTTCTGCTGCCTTGGCTTTAGGAGCTGGAGCTGCGTTGGCAGGAGTACTACGAGCTGGTGACCGTCCTGCAGCAGTGGATCCGCCACCATGTCATGATCTTCGAGGAGAGGAAGTTCCCCGGCAGCTATGAGGAGGTCGAGGTGAGATGCTATCAATGTGCTTTTAGTATGCCTACAGGTTGGAGATTAGCTTTGTTATGGATATGTCTGCAGACCGCTGTTCAGCAGCACTAAAGAATACAAATTAAAGGTTTACAGTATCATTTTTAGGTATTTAAAGAAAACTTTTAATAACATAGAGATATTCTCAGTCTTCAGGTTTTGTTGGTCATTCAATTTTGTTGCTGAAAGAACACGCTTGCATAATGTAGGCAGAAAGAAAAGAGGGTATTGTTGTGCACTAGGTGGGGCAGTGATTGTGCTGAAAAAAATAAAAATGCAGCCACAAGGCAAATAATGCTAAACCTAATCCTCAGACGAGACACCACTGTGCCACTCCCTGCCAGTGCTTCTGAACAAAAGCATAGCGTGTCTGCAGTACTTTTCTCAACTTTCTTTGAAGTCAAACTAACAGAAGAAGTGCATCAGCAGAATCACAGTATGAGGTGTGCTTCTATGAGTCTGGTTACAGAGGTTACAGTTCCAGCTGTCTTCAACAGCAAGGCAGTCAAGTTATTTCACAAAGCTTAACTTGATTTCCCACCAGAGGTTAGCCATCTATATATAAACTTTTAACTGTGGCATGATGTGTTACTTTAATGGTCTGATTTAATTCAGGGAATTAGGGTTTCCAATTATGTTAACTGAGCAAATTGCATAACATTCACTGAAAGAAAAGCAGCATATTGATGTCTTTTACACCAGGGAAGTAGAAGTTTTACTTTTTCTACTGTAAAAGCCGGTAGCCTAGTGGTTAATGTGTGTACCCTATGTACGGAGGTTATAGTCCTTTAATCCTCTCTCCCTTAGTTCAGACTCTATCCACTGTCCTATCTGTAAATTAAAAGAATTAAAAGCCCCTAAACAAATTAAATGTTGTCTTTTTCTTCTTTTTTTGTAGCTTCTTTGGCGCCAGTTCTTGAAGTTCAAAGAGACAGAGCTGCCAGTGAAAGAGACCGACAAGAACCGGTCCAAACACATCTACCAGTCCTTTGAGGCAAGCTGACCCTGTTTTTCTAATCTTTTGTCATTTTATTGTGTTCTGTTCTATTGACTCGCGACTTATGCATTGTACACCCGTTTGCCCCACAGAGCGCCGTGCATGCTGGTCAGGTGAAGGTCCCTCCAGGATACGATCCTATTGATGTGGAGAAAGAATGGGGTCGACTTCATGTGGCCATCTTGGAAAGAGAACGGCTGCTGAGGATAGAGTTTGAGAGGTGAGGACAGTCAGTGGATATATCAAGCAATCACTCAAATATTTTTTAAAATCTTATCTTAAGACAAAAAGAGCCGGTTACGAATTTACTCTTAGTTCTATTATTTACAGAGACTCAAAATTAATCCAACATGAGCAAATAACAAACTTGGCAACGTTTAGCAAGACACAGCTGCAAGGTAAAAACGTCCTTTAAAGCACAACCAGACTCACGACTCACAGTCGTCTGCTGTGACTGTGTTGGGCTTGCAGGAAGAAAAATGGGACAACAATGAATAAAGGAGATGAATGGCTCCAATCCAAGTTATTATAGTTAAAGTATACACTAATTAAACTAATTTTTATGTTTTTTATCGGATATATGGAGAATGATCCTCAGAAATATTACACATTTTTATATTACTAATTCTAAAAACAAAAGAATATAGATGAGATATCATACACACAGTACAAAAACATAGAAAAAGACATTGTAATGTGCTTCAGTTTCAGGTAACAGTTATGTGTCCTGATAATAGTTTACACCTACAGATGATGACTAGCGGTTAAGAAATGACAATACTAACATGGATCGTTTCAAGTGGTTAAAAACATCTATCTAAGGTATAAAGAGAAAACATACTCAATTTATCCAAACAAAAAAGGAATGAGATGAGGCATTTTTAAAAAACTGCTTCATGCTAACAATTTATTAGCCTAGCTTTAGCCTCATGGTTATAGTATTAGATGGCATGCTAGTTAGCCTTTAAACGTCCCCAAATGCAGATAAAGATGACAAAAAGTATGCAAAATAATGTATTGTCACTTTTGATTTAACCTTGACAAAGGTTGTTTTTAAATAAAAAAACATTTGAAAGGTTATTTGTGATTACTCATTATAGTTGCAGATTTTGCCGATTGCAATTCCTGCTTTGGTAGAATTGAAGCAAAATCTCTGGTGAAGGGCGTTTTTTTCCTCGTTGTTTTGTGTGTTGGTTTGTTTCACCTTGACAGGCATGTTCCCCTTAATTTGTCACAAACAATTATTTAATTAGTTTTGATGAAATCAAATGAGACATCTTCCCCAGTATTGAGAACTACATCATTTCTTGGAAATGGGATAGTTTAGTGTCACGAGTCGAGGCATCTCACAGTTTGATAGCCTCGTTCACGGTTGTGAGATGAGGAATGACTCATTTCGCAGACTGGATGTCTTTGTCAGAAAAACAGAGAGATTTGTGTCACACTCTGCCCTGCTACGTGGTAGATTTCCTAAGGCATAATGGGACTTTGAGAAGAGCTACGTTTTTTTATGTAGCTGGAACTTTAATAGTTATAAAAGAGATGCGGCATGGCATTTGTGGGTGATCCACATAAATTGGAGTTTTTGCTGGAGTACAGATTACAGCAAGTGAGCTTTGGCTTCTGGTGGTCCAAATGTCTGAGAGCGCTCTGATTCTATGGGACTTTTAAAACGAGGATAAACACAATGTTTTTTAGTTCTATTATTTTTATTCTTTACATTTATTTGTTTCTCTCATCCAGACTTGAGAGGCTCCAGAGGATCGTCAATAAAGTCCATATGGAGTCAAGGACGAGTGATGACCAGCTCAGCCACCTGGAGAACCTGCTGCAGACAGTGAGTCCTACCATTACATTATAATGACTGTATTTTGATATTTGTCTACAAAGGAGAACAGAAACCTGAGCATCCAGAAAATGATTATGCATTATTATTTTTTGGATTTGAATGTGAGCAAACTTAAATCATTCATCCTTTCTAAATTATGATTTTAAAAAATGCACTTAAACTCTTTTATGTTATCTTCTAAATATGTAGTGACAGAGAAGTAAATAAAGATGACAAATCTTTTTTTTTTTTATTTAATCCCCTTCAGGACATCCGTCTGCTGAACGCAGGGAAACCAGCTCAGCACACTGCAGAATTAGAGAGAGAGCTGGACAAGGCAGACAACATGATTCGCCTTCTCTTTAATGATGTGCAAGTGCTCAAGGATGGGCGCCACCCTCAGGCTGATGAGATGTACCGCAGGTGGGTGATGCCTTCAAGTGAATATTTCACAGACACACCCTGTTACAAAACTGTTAGAAAACACCGAGATACACAAAGACTTACAGCTGACTGAGTTTTTTTTTTTATTCCCACAGGGTTTACCGCCTCCATGAGCGCCTTGTGAACCTGCGCACCGATTACAACCTCCGTCTGAAGACTGTGGTGACTACTTCCAAAGTGAACCTGACGTCAACCTCCCAGCAGCAGATCATAAAGGTGCGGCCCGAGTTGGATGACGTCACCATTCGCTATGTCAAAGACCTTCTGGCTTGGGTGGAGGAGAACCAGCATCGCATTGATGCAGCTGAGTGGGGCTCTGATCTGCCCACTGTGGAGTCCCAGCTGGGCAGCCACAGAGGCCTGCACCAGACTGTAGAGGACTTCAAATCCAAGATCGAACGGTCCAGGGCTGATGAGGTGATATTATCAGAACCGCTGCAAAGGATTTGATACTGTCGGGCAGAGTCCCGTTGATTTCAAAGTAACAACTGTTACATCTTTGTGTTCTTCAGAGCCAGCTGTCACCTGTCAGCAAGGGTGCTTACAGGGAATACCTGGGCAAACTGGACCTTCAGTACGGCAAACTACTGGTAAAACTTTTTCTAGTACAAACTTCCAATTTAGAAACGTAATCTGAATCTAAAAGATTTGTATTTATTTATAGTGCATTTGAGTGCAGTTTTTTTTTGTAATCCACCACTGATGATTTGATTTACTTTTTATCTTTCAGAACTCTTCAAAGTCCCGCCTGAGGAACCTGGATTCACTCCACGGATTCGTCAGCGCTGCCACAAAGGAGCTGATGTGGTTAAATGACAAAGAAGAGGAAGAGGTGAACTTCGACTGGAGTGACAGGAACACCAACATGACGGCTAAGAAAGACAACTACTCGGTATGTCTCTAAAGTAGCACTTGACTATCTGCTGTCACATGCTTTATAATGTCTTTTATAATTCCAGTCCTTCAGATTTTGTGGGATAAAGTAATCAAATTAACACACATAACCGTTTCCCTTAAGATTGTCATTAACTGTTTGAATTGGACTGTTCAGGGTCTCATGCGAGAGCTGGAGCTGAGGGAGAAGAAGGTCAATGACATCCAGGCCATGGGAGACAGATTTGTCAAAGATGGACATCCTGGCAAGAAGACAGTTGAGGTAAGAACTCTAGTAAACCACCCTGAGCAGTGCAACAATATGTTTTTAACAATATGTTTATTGAGTTTTAAACATTTTTCCAAGACACACAATTACAATTAAATAAATTCTAAGGGAAAAAAAAGATATACACATGCACATATATACACATTTATAAAATAAGGGGGGGAAGTAAAATATAATAATACAATTAAAAAAAAACTTTAATAACAAAATGTTGCAAAATTATTACTGTCTGTATTAAATAAAAATAACCAAATGGAGTACATTGACAAGCTAGCTTCTTATTCTTTTTCATCATGACTTTCTTTTTTGTCTTTGTCTCTTCAGGCCTTCACAGCTGCCCTGCAGACTCAGTGGAGCTGGCTCCTCCAGCTGTGCTGCTGCACTGAGGCTCATCTCAAAGAAAACACAGCCTACTACCAGGTACTAACACATTGATCTTAATCAATTTATAGTATTTGGATTCCCCTAGTTCTACCCCCAAAAAAATCAAGTTGTATTCAAAGAGCAGAATTTGTATTTCTTGACCTCCATGGTATCCTTTGCTCGCAGTTCTTTGCTGATATGAAAGAGGCTCAGGACAGGATGAAGAAGATGCAAGACAACATGAAAAAGAAATACAGCTGTGATCGCTCCACTACAGCCACCCGCCTTGAGGATCTGCTGCAGGATGCTGTGGTAAGTTATCATAACTACACCTCTGTAGTATATCTAAAATATTCATGCATAGTGATGCAAAAGGAGCTTTATAAACAAAATGCACAAGAAATTGATCAAGATAGCGATGATTTCAAAGAAAAGATGGGATAATTTCATCGTGATCTTGTTTGTATGCAGGAGGAGAAAGAACAGCTGAATGAATATAAGACCCTTGTGACCGGCCTGAACAAGAGAGCCAAATCCATCATCCAGCTGAAACCACGCAACCCCACCACCTCTATCAAAGGCAAACTGCCCGTCCAGGCTGTCTGTGACTTCAAGCAACAGGAGGTTAGAACATCTACTGACAGGCATTCACAATAATTAACATGAGAGCAGTCATACTTTTTCCTGATATCAGTTTTCCATCCATTTAATGTGTGTATTTACCAACCATGGGTTGTGTTTCAGATCACTGTGCACAAAGGAGATGAGTGCGCACTCCTCAACAACTCTCAGCCCTTCAAGTGGAAGGTGCTGAACCGCTCTGGAACCGAGGCAGTGGTCCCCTCCGTCTGCTTCATGGTGCCTCCGGTCAACAAGGAGGCTGTGGACGGTGTGAACAGGTGAGAACAAAGCACAACAAACAGAATGAATCCATCTTGTGACAGCTGTGTTTATAAACTGAGTGAAGAACCACTCAGCAGCGATATGAGAATTACTTGTTTTAATTCAGTAGCAAGAAATGCTAATCTTCATTATGTCAAATCCTTGATCCATATGTCACTACACTACAGATATTATTTACAGCTGTAGATGCAACCACACTTTTTTGAATCCTAAAGCAGCATTGATTATGAGGATGTCAATTTTGAAATATATGTAACACTTCTGATCATTTTAAGCATCAACAACCAGACAATCGGTCGAGTTTTACGGGGAAATGTTTTATTGATGAAGTCCTGTTTGTTTCCTTAATTGTTGCACTAACTCGGTTCCTCTCCTGTTCCAGCCTGGATGCAGGTCATCAGCAGATGGTGACCATGTGGCAGACACTCCACATTAACATGAAGAGCTTGCTGTCATGGCAGTACCTGATGAGAGACTACACACAGATCCGCTCCTGGAACATCACCACAGTGAGTACAACAGTTGTTAAAAAAAGTGAAACGCTTATTTAGAGGTGTTACAAGGGGTGTAAACATTCATTATAACATGACGTATTAACAAGATATAATGGACATTTAACTTAGCAGTAATTAAACTTTTTTTTTGTTGCAGTATATCGCTTAAATAACTTAACAGTTGCCCATAACAGGTTTTGCAAAGGATAGACAGGCTCCAAAAATCGGTTTTGAACAAGTTCACATGTTTTTAGTCTTTTATTATATTAATGCAGGTTATTTCTAGGTGCTGGTAAAAGTGCACAAGCCATTCTCAGTGAACAAGGGGACTGTTTTGGATTCTTTTTTGATTTGATGATTCTATATATTCTTCCCTTTAGTGAGTAGAAAGTGAATAATTGAAGCCATCTTCCTGTCTGTTCTGGACAACGGGGATGTCATTTATAGACATGCTTCTGCCTCCACCCTAAAATCATTAGACACAGTTTATCACTCCGCCCTCAGATTTATCACTGGTGACAAGTATTTCACTCATCATTGCATCCTGTACGATAAAGTCTACCGATAAATCTACCAGCATACATCACTTCTTTATTAATCTGTTCAATTCAATTCAATTCAATTCAAAAAACTTTATTTGTCCCCAGGGGGCAATTCAAAGGCAATTCAATCTGGGCTGATAATCAGTATCAGACTCGATCAAGTGACTGGCTAATGTTAACGGTTCCACGAGTAAAAACAAACTTTGGGAAAACATCCTTCACCTATTGTGCTGCACACACCTGGAACACAATACAAAACACATTCAAACTCAATACAATGGTTACCATGGGTCAATTTAAAAACCTGATCACAATTCACTGTGTTCATGAGTGTAAATGTTATTAACTGTAGTTACCTGCTTACTGCTTATTCTTCTGGTCTTATAATCTATGTATTTTGTCTTAGTTGTTTTTTGTCTCTTATTCGTTTTAATTGTAATTTCGACGTCATTGTACATGAGGGCTTGCCCTCAATGATTTCTCGAGAATAAATAAAGGTCAAATGAAAATATATAAATGAGAAAATGCAATAAACCTTACTTCAAACATAAAAAGTACATCAGCCAACGTATCATATTTCTGAGAATATGGCGGAAAAGGTGCACTAAAGTCTTACCACTAAATGCCCTCCCATATGTCTCCCTCCTTCATAGTTAAAGAGCATGAAACCCGAGGAATACAGGCTGATCATGAGAAACCTGGAGCTCCACTACCAGGACTACATGCGTGACAGCCAGGACTCGCAGCTCTTCGGCCCCGACGACCGCATGCAGATCGAGGAGGACTACACCAAGTCCACCCAACATTTCGACAGCCTGGTTCGCTCCATGGAGAAAGGTAACATTTACGTTCTTTCTCTGAAACAACGGATTAGTTTTTGATTAATCATGGGAAAAAGAGAATATACTACAAGTGTGCAGCAACTTTACAGAATGTAATTGTTATTCATCTTTCAGGGCTAATGCTTGTTAGGCTCAAAGGTAAGTGATGCTAGTCAAAGCTACAGCTCACCACGCTTTGAGCTTTGGATGAGCCTTTCTGAGAACCACTAGAGTAGAGATCTGAGTGACGGCATGTTGTTTTGGTTACCATGTTGCTTTGTCTTATCTGCAGCTTTGCTCAATGGAAAAAAAAACCTGGTTTAATGACAGTATGTTGTGTTTTTTTGTCATTTAGTTGTATCACCTAATAAAGCCATTACTGTTCCTAGGTAGCATTTTTTACAGTGTATGCTGAAACTGTAGTGCTGATTGTGCTGCGTGTGTTTATGTCACAACTCTCAAGAAGAGATGCATGTATGATCGTGCTACACATATGAGGCGACGCCTGCGAGCTAGTTCAGGCAGTCAACTCGAGCTGCACTGATTTCACACTTAACATGCGCCCCCCCCCCCCCCCCCCCATCAAAACAGACCGCAAAATAATGTACGTGTCGCAAAAACACAACAAAACATAACAAAAAGCTTATTAAAACATTTCATCATATTTCCTCAACATACTGGCTTCAATTATTCTTTTAAATATAAATAAATACATATTAATATAAATGCGCCTCAAAAATCCCAGATCATAAATATTGCTTATCAAACTGATTATAGAAACTATACTCTAAGCTACAGTATGTGATAGTAGTTTTGATCTACTCATATTTTACAGTGCATCAAACATCTGTCACCACCAAACACTTGTGTGGGACAGATGTGGGGGACATTTCCCCCCCACTCCCCATATTTTGGTGAAGAAAATAGTACATTGTGCTGTACTTAACAGAGACACTTTGTTTGCTCCATAGGTCAGCAGGACGAGACTCTGTGTAAGAACTACATCTCTGAGCTCAAGGACCTGCGTCTGCGTATTGAGAACTGTGAGACCGGGACTGTGGCTCGCATCCGCAGACCCACAGAGAAGGAGCCTCTGAAGGAGTGTATTCAGAAGACAACAGAGCAGAAGGTACGCTAATTAAACAATGATTGTGTTAATGTTTTCATGCAAGGACATGGCATCAAGAAATCCTGGACATATTCAAAATGTTTTTAAATCTCCATTGACAGACTCCTGCTGCCATCTACAATTATTCAACAACCGGTGTCACTAGGCCAGTTAGAAGATTATCCAAAGGGCTAATTAATATCAACTGTGACCGCATATCCCTTAGTTTAAATTGGAGAAAGAGATAAAAAGTACCTGTTCATAACCTTTGCAGGGAGAAAAGTCTTTTAATGTAGAAGGATAGAAAATGCTCTTCTAATGGCCATAACGTGATGTGGTCATTATGTTTGTGTACTATTTGAATGTATTCACAGCTTAAAACCAAATAGTTGCATTCATGACTTGATAACCGGATGATTTTTTGTAATTAAATCAAAAGGCAGCACACCTTTTTTTTTTTCATAAATAAGAAACACAACAGGAGCGCTTCTGGTATCCCTCAAACCAATGGTACTCATGGAAGAGCAAAATAGATTGGTGTAAATAATCCAGGTCCAGGCACTCAGGATAGTTGGAAAAAAAGAGAATCATTATTGCTGCAGTCACCACAGCTTTTTTCCATAATGTATCGTGCAAAAAACCATGCAGAATAGTTGAAGTAAGGACACTGACAGGAAAGATAAAGTTGAACTGATTGGAAAAGAAGAATGAATAATTAAATGTCATGCTTCCTCTGTACCTCAGGTTGTTGAGTAGAAATCAGATTGCAGTGTGCTTTTTTCTGGCTTACTCTGAAGTGTGAAAATACAGCAGAGAATTACATTTGCTACGATGTCTTGAGTTTGTTCACACATGAGAGATAGTTGAAAGCCCGCTGGCTACCTTTTTACTACATCTGCTCAGACCCCAGCTTACCTCAGACTGTTAATATTTTGTGCGCTGCCTCTGGCCAATCATTACACACAGACAAACACTGCACTGGTTCATTAAAATGAAAGATGCCTTGTAACACATTTCTAAAAACTTATTTATCATATTTATCCTCAGTAAAGACCTTCTTCACATTTTCTTAACTGTTGTTGTCCTCTCCTGTCTTACAGAAAGTCCAGGTGGAACTTGATGGCCTCAAGAAGGACCTTAATAAGGTCTCTGTAAAGACACAAGAGGTCTTGGCCTCCCCACAGAAGTCTGCCTCTTATCCCGTCCTGCGCTCAGAGCTTGACGTCACCGTGCAGAAGATGGATCATGCCCACATGCTTTCCTCTTTTTATCTGGACAAGTGAGTCTTCACAAACTAGCTCTTTGAAATGAAAAGATAATGCACTGTTCTCTGATGAAACTTTGGTTTGCCACTTTATGTACTACTTCTTTTTTTCTTTTGCCCCAGGCTGAAGACCGTGGAAATGGTGATTCGTAACACTCAGGGTGCTGAGGGAGTTCTCAAGCAGTATGAGGACTGCCTGCGTGAGGTTCACACTGTGCCCAGTGATATCAAGGAAGTGGAGACTTACAGATCAAAGCTCAAGGTAAACCAGCTTTTCATTCTTTTAGTGTCAGGGTTCAGAGAAACACCAGCTGTTAGAGGACAACTTTAAAGGTGGAGTCAGTAGCAAATTGTCTTTGCAGCTATGTGAACACAACATTGAATCTGGACCCCCTCCTCCTCCTGGGCTCATCACCCCGAGAAGTGCACGCTCACTGCAGGACGTAGTGTGTACGTTTACTGCTTGTACCTTCACCTGCAAGCTACCTGCACTAGCAAAAGCTAACCGCCGGTGTTTGGCACCTGCCTGTCCAACAGAAAGCAGGCCAACTCTGCGTCCACATGTTAAGGCTAACACAAGGTTCAACCTCGTCCAATCGCTGAAGTGTATCCACTCCTAAACTCACCTGCTCATTGTCATTGGCTGGGAGAAACACGCCAGCTCCCCAACCAGAAACGTCTTAAGTAAATCAAAACAAACCAAAACATGAAAATGCAGGCAGAGGATAAAGTCTCTGCTGTCACTGTCACAACCGCACACATTTAGCCCATAAGTGTTGATTGAGCTGCATTATTTCTGTATGTATATATTTTATTTTCTAGTCACAGGGATCTAAATCAGTTAAGCCTTGTCCCTAATGATGATATTAACTTATTTGGTTGTTTTTTTTTAACTGTAGAAAATGCGAGCTGAGGCCGAGGGCGAGCAGCCGGTATTCGACTCTCTGGACGAGGAGCTGAAGAAGGCCTCCACAGTGAGTGACAAGATGTCCCGCGTGCACAGCGAGCGCGACGCCGAGCTCGACCACTACCGTCAGCTGCAGTCCAGCCTACAGGACCGCTGGAAGGCCATGTTCACACAGATGGACCTCCGCCAGAGAGAGCTGGAGCAGCTCGGCCGTCAGCTCGGCTACTACCGCGAGAGCTACGACTGGCTGATCCGCTGGATCGGCGACGCCAAGCAGAGGCAGGAGAAGATTCAGGCCGTGCCCATCACGGACAGCAAGACTCTGAAAGAACAGCTGACCCAGGAGAAGGTTTGTTGAAATCTGCGGGAGATTTTGAGCATTGTCATGATGGTTTTTTACATGGAACTATAGTGAGCTCAACTCTTATTATAACCTCCCTTTTTTCAAAACAGAAACTTCTTGAGGAGATCGAGGGCAACAAGGACAACGTTGACGAGTGTCAAAAATATGCCAAAGCATACATTGATGCAATCAAGGTGAGCATCTACCTTTGAAAAAACTATACATGTTTTTCAAATCAACATGGCCAAAACAATATTTAACAATATCAATATTTATTGATTCTGTGTTTTCAAATAGGACTACGAACTCCAGCTGGTGGCCTACAAAGCCCAGGTGGAGCCTCTTGCTTCTCCATTGAAGAAAACCAAAATGGATTCTGCTTCTGACAACATCATTCAGGAGGTGTTTTTCTTACAACATTATAGGATACAGATCCTCAGTATGAATCGTGAATTTTGTTTGATTTATATTACAAGAGTTGTTTTACTTTCCATCCACATGCAGCTGTAAACTCACATGTTTAAGTGTTGTTTGTTTCTCCCCTGTATCAGTATGTAACACTGAGGACCAGGTACAGTGAGCTGATGACTCTGACTAGTCAGTACATCAAGTTCATCACTGACACACAGCGGCGGCTGGACGACGAGGAGGTGCGTGACAACTGGCTGTGGATCCCAAACAAACTAAACTCTAACATGAAGCTAACCAACCGACTTAATAATCAACCAAACAACAAAACCAAACAAACAAAAAAAAACCTGCCGATCATCACAACACACGCATGCACCCACTTCTCTCTGTGTGTCACACGCACACACACACACATACACATACACACACACAAACACAAATGACCTTAATGTACAGGTGACAAAAGTCTCTCTGCACAGGTTACACTTGAAACATTGGCATGCTGTAGCTGATTAGCTGGAGAATATTTAAATTATATTTTAGCAGCTCTCATAGCGAAGCAAAAAAGTGAATGCATAAAAAGATTGTCACAAACACACGATGCATGAGGTTTGAGTGTGTGTGTACATTCAAGGGAACACCATTTTTAAATAGATGTTTTTAACCCTGGTTTGAGAACATTACTCTAAATGTTCCTCTAAAATAGATTTCATCTCCATTCACAGATTTAGAGTGAGGGGTTCTTTCTTTCATTGCTATTATCCTTTCCTCTCTTATCCCCTCTGGGCTCTTTTTTTTCTAAAGGTTATAAATCAAAGTTAAATCTCTAAGGTTCACTTATGGTCTTCAGCTCTTCTTTTTTTTCTCCCTAAATTAACACTGGTTTCAAGTTTTTACATTCTTTTCTAACCCTGATGTTTTTTGTTTTTGTTTCTTTGCTTCTCTTAACTGCTTGCCAGTGCTTTGCCATGATGAATGCTTAACATGTTTGAGCATTAAAAAGGTAAATTTACTCACTGTGTAACCCCCTATTCCCCCCCTTGTTGTCCTCCCATCTGTCTCTCTCAGACTGCATTTCTTCTTTACATGCCATTTTAATTCTTGCTTTACTGCGGCCTCTTGTAGAGCCACTGTAACTACCTCTCAAACTGCATTTCTTCTTTACATTTCATTTGAATTCTTCCTTTAGTACCGCCTCTTGTAGAGTCACTTTCACTTCCTGCACTGTCTCTGAGTCCACATCATTCTTACTACGCAGTACTTAATATTCTTCTTAACCTACTTCAAATGCTTCTAAAACTTGCCGGAGTCGTAAACTGGTTTCCAACCTTCAGTGGCATCATCTTGCCTTACTCTTCCATTCCATTTTATGTCGTGGCAAATAGTGATTTAAAGAACCCCGGTGCATGGGAAGAGATAGGGTTCAGTTTAAGTGAAGTGCTGTGCTGTGGATAACACTTTAACATGAAGCGTATAATCTTCATCTGAATAAACTACAATACTTAGAAATGTTCTCACACTTGTCTAAAGAAGTTCTTAATAACCATAACTATTTTATATTGAACGCATTTGCAAGGCCAGGCATTAGAAATTAGCATTAGCGCTATAAATGCTGTGGTATTGGAAAATTGTTGTTCAGTTCTCCATGTATACTTGCATCTATCCCTGCCAAATAAAGCCGAGGAAAAACAACGTAAAACAATTTAATGTTGAACACTACTACCTAAAACAAATGCCTACTGAGCAGAATAAGATTCAACACATAGAGTATTTAAAAAGGGATTATCAAGCAGTGTGGGATCATCTCAATTATATTGAAACAAACATTTTAATTTGATAAGACCAAGAGCTACATGACTTTTATTCTAGTAGATTATGATATAATGATGATAATGGGATCCTTGTGTTAATGCAGTTTTTGAGAGTTGCTACAGCTGCAGTGGCATGCCATATGGTTTTCTTGCTGTGTTGTGAAGTGATATTTTTGTTTCCATACATTCATTCATACATTTCACATCATTTCCCCCTCTGAATTGTCTTGTCATGAACTGTTTTAATTGCATTGTGTATTTAACATCACCTTAATGAATGTGCATCTATTTTGCATCTAGTGATTGACCTTTGTCCTGATCTTTGAGCTAACTTTAACATTAACATTAACATTGCCTAGGTAATACTGTACATTAAGCTGCTCATATCTCAGTGGGATGGGCTGTGGTTACACTCGTAATTGCATTTCCCACTATGTTGAGCTGGTTGATGTAAAGAGTTACCTTTAACATGTCATGCTTGATTATAATCCTTTCTCTACCATTTCCCTCCACTAATGCAGAAAGCTGCAGAGAAACTCAAAGCGGAAGAGCAGAAAAAAATGGCCAAGATGCAGGCTGAGTTAGACAAACAAAAGCAGTTAGCTGAAGTTCACGCGAAGGCCATAGCCAAGGCTGAGAAAGAAGCTCAAGAGCTGAAACTCAGAATGAAGGAAGAAGTAAACAAGCGAGAAGTTGCCGCTGTCGACGCAGAGAAGCAAAAGCAAAACATCCAGCTTGAACTCCATGAGCTCAAAAACCTGTCGGAGCAGCAGATCAAGGACAAGAGTCAACAGGTGGATGACGCTCTGCAGAGCAGGGTCAAGATTGAGGAGGAAATCCGCCTCATCAGGCTCCAACTTGATACCACAGTCAAACAAAAGTCTACTACTGAATCTGAGCTCCAGCAGCTTCGTGACAGAGCAGCTGAAGCTGAGAAACTCAGAAAGGCTGCCCAGGAAGAAGCTGAGAAGCTGCGCAAACAAGTCAATGAAGAGACGCAGAAAAAGCGCATGGCAGAGGAGGAGCTCAAACGCAAATCAGAGGCCGAGAAGGAGGCCTCTCGGCAAAAGCAAAAAGCTCTGGAAGACCTTGAAAACCTGAAGATGCAGGCGGAGGAGGCGGAGAGGCGGGTTAAGCAGGCAGAAGTCGAGAAGGAGAGACAAATCAAGCTTGCCTGTGACACGGCACAGAAGAGTGCTGCAGTTGATCTCCAGAACAAACACCTGTCCTTCGTGGAAAAGACCTCAAAGCTGGAGCAATCGCTCAAACAAGAGCACGGCACTGTGCTCCAGCTGCAACAGGAAGCGGAGCGTCTCAAGAAGCAACAGGAGGATGCCGAAAACGCCAGAGAAGAAGCGGAGAAGGAACTTGAGAAATGGAGACAGAAGGCCAATGAGGCCCTCCGCTTGAGACTCCAGGCTGAGGAGGAAGCTGACAAGAAGAGCCTCGCTCAAGAAGACGCCGAGAAGCAGAAGGAGGAGGCTGAGCGCGAGGCTAAAAAGAGAGCCAAAGCTGAAGACTCTGCCCTGAAGCAGAAAGAGATGGCGGAGAAAGAGCTCGAGAGGCAGAGGAAGGTAGCTGAGAGCACGGCTCAGCAGAAGCTCACCGCAGAGCAGGAGCTGATTCGTCTAAGGGCAGACTTCGACAACGCCGAGCAGCAGCGATCCCTCCTCGAGGATGAACTTTACCGCCTTAAGAATGAGGTCATTGCAGCTCAACAAGACAGGAAACAGCTGGAGGATGAACTGGCCAAAGTGAGGAGTGAAATGGATGTCCTTGTTCAGCTTAAGTCCAAGGCAGAAAAGGAGACCATGTCCAACACAGAGAGGAGCAAGCAGCTTCTTGAGGCCGAAGCCACCAAGATGAGGGATCTCGCCGACGAAGCGGGCAAGCTCAGAGCCATTGCAGAGGAGGCGAAGCATCAGAGACAGATTGCTGAGGAAGAAGCAGCCCGTCAGAGAGCGGAGGCCGAGAGGATCCTGAAAGAGAAGCTCTCTGCGATCAGCGAAGCCACTCGCTTAAAAACAGAGGCTGAAATCGCCCTGAAGGAAAAGGAGGCGGAAAACGAAAGACTCCGCCGTCATGCCGAGGATGAGGCCTACCAAAGGAAGGCTCTCGAAGACCAGGCTAACCAGCACAAGCAGGATATTGAGTTGAAGATAGTCCAACTTAAAAAGTCATCCGAGGCTGAAATGGACAGACAGAAAGCGATCGTGGATGACACGCTCAAGCAGAGGCGAGTCGTAGAAGAAGAGATTCGAATTCTCAAGCTCAACTTTGAAAAGGCTTCGTCTGGAAAACTTGACCTGGAGCTCGAACTGAACAAGCTGAAGAACATCGCAGAGGAAACTCAACAGAGCAAACTCAGAGCAGAAGAGGAGGCGGAGAAGCTGAGGAAGCTCGCCCTGGAGGAGGAGAAGAGGAGGAGGGAGGCAGAGGAAAAGGTCAAGAAGATCACCGCTGCAGAGGAAGAGGCAGCCAGACAGCGCAAGGCCGCCCAAGAAGAACTGGATCGGCTGAAAAAGAAATCAGAAGAAGCCAGGAAGCAAAAGGAGGAGGCCGACAAGGAAGCAGAAAAACAGATTGTTGCAGCCCAACAAGCAGCGCTGAAATGCAGCACTGCTGAGCAGCAAGTCCAAAGTGTCCTTGCTCAACAGAAGGAAGACACAATGATGCAGGAGAGCCTTAAGGCAGAGTATGAGAAAGCCAAGAAACTAGCCAAAGAGGCCGAGGCTGCTCGGGAGAAGGCAGAGAGGGAGGCTGCTCTCTTTCGCCAACAAGCAGAGGAAGCAGAGCGTCAAAGGTCAGCTGCTGAGCAAGAAGCATCAGTCCAAGCCAAAGCTCAGGAGGACGCTGAGAGGCTGAGGAAGGAGGCTGAATTTGAAGCTGCTAAACGAGCACAAGCAGAAGCTGCGGCACTCAAGCAGAAGCAACAAGCCGATGCTGATATGGCGAAACACAAAAAATTGGCAGAGCAAACATTAAAACAGAAGTTCCAAGTGGAACAAGAGCTCACAAAGGTTAAACTGAAGCTTGATGAGACCGATAAACAGAAATCCGTCCTGGATGATGAGCTGCAGCGCTTGAAGGACGAGGTCGATGACGCCGTCAAACAAAGGGCCCAGGTCGAAGAGGAGCTGTTTAAAGTTAAGGTTCAGATGGAGGAGCTTCTCAAACTGAAAATCAAAATGGAGGAGGAAAATCAACGCCTGATCAAGAAAGACAAAGACAACACTCAAATGTTCCTTGCAAAAGAGGCAGACAGCATGAAAAAGCTTGCTGAAGATGCAGCTCGACTAAGTGTAGAGGCCCAGGAGGCTGCGCGCCTCAGACAGGTTGCAGAAGACGACCTGAATCAGCAACGAGCTCTCGCAGATAAAATGCTGAAGGAGAAAATGCAGGCCATACAAGAGGCATCCAAACTTAGAGCTGAGGCAGAGATGCTCCAAAGGCAGAAGGACTTGGCTCAAGAGCAGGCACAAAAGCTGATGGAGGACAAACAATTAATGCAACAGCGTCTGGAGGAGGAAACAGAGGAATACCAGAAGTCACTTGAGGCAGAGAGGAAAAGACAGTTAGAGATCATAGCAGAGGCTGAAAGACTCAAACTTCAAGTTTCTCAGCTCAGTGAAGCACAGGCCAAAGCGGAACAAGAAGCTAAAAAGTTCAAGAAACAAGCCGATAACATCGCTTCTGTTCTGTATGAGACTGAGAAAGCCACCCAGGAAAGAATGACTGTGGTGGAAAAACTGGAGGTCGACAGACAAAATACCAGCAAAGAGGCCGACGGTTTACGCAAAGCTATTGCAGACCTAGAAAAGGAGAAGGCTAGACTGAAAAAGGAGGCTGAAGAACTGCAAAATAAGTCAAAAGAGGTATTGTGTCAAAAATGGCATAACAGAGCAGCTTATGTCATTGTTCAAATTCTCTGAAATCTAACCCACTTCTTTCTTAAAATTTCCTCTATCTCTTTATCTGATTATACTAATCATGAAACCATTTCTCTCATTTTAAATGTTCAAAGTATGATTTACATTTATTTTTTACAGTGCACTGTGCTCATGCAGATCGCATCCTGAATGCCCCCTCATATCCTGGAATGTTTCTTCTATTTTAAGACACGCTTCATATTTCTTGCCGTTAAAAAAACCTTTTTGAAACTCAGATCCAACGTAAATTGAAACGTCATGATTCAAATTCAGATCAAAATAATTCAGATTAATACATTTTGTTAGCAATTTAGTCAGCGAGTATAACTAAAGTTGGTCAAAAGAGGTCTAGCATCTCAGTACATTCACAGATTTAACACTGAATCAATATCTTAAGTGGTCAAAAGAAGCGTACCATTGCGTTTATTTGATGGTAGCTTAATCTTGGATTTTCACCATTTTTTTAGAGTGTAAAGAATATTCAAACACAAGGGAGTTGTTATCATTAGTTTCAATGACTAGTGTTTTTAGTGTAGAGAGAGCTTTAAGAAATCCAGACATCTCCACCAAATGTACCTTCATCCCAGGCAGACAAGCATACCACTGAACCAAACCTTAACATGCTAGCTAAAACATGTGTCAGCTATAATAGACATAAATATTAGTCTTAATACCTATTGTCATCCTGTCAACCCTCCAACCGGCATGACTGTAATGCACTTGTGTGCATCATTTGACACAAAAGGCATGCAACCGCCATTCTCTCTTTCTTGACACGTGCTTGTTGACTTGAACCACATCCTCCCCCACCACTGAGTTTGCTTTAGAACCATATACTGAATTTGGATCATTTTTGGTATGTTTATTATTGCTACTACCAGAGTATTTCAATTTCTATATTAAATGATATCAGTTAACCAGGTTAGCCGGTAAGGACAAAGGCCCTGCAATGACCCAGTAAATTTACATTCATAGAAATGGCTGGAGTGTCTATGGGGCCCTCAGTGAGTACAACACTATGAGAAGTTCCACAAAAAAATCAATCTAAAGAAATAATGTATTTTTGTTCAACTGGATCTTATGTAGAAGTTGTTTTTTGAGGTATAGGTAGCATTGCTAAGTTGTTTTCTTTTCCAATACCAAGCTTAGATAGCTTTACAGATAGTGCCTCTTATAGATTATTCTGCTAGCTATGGAAGCTTTGAGTAAGTGTTGGTCTTTATACCTCACTGTCCCTAACTGACAGGAGGGGCAGGGGCCATGTACAGCCGGGATGTTGGAGTTGCCAGGCATGTTGTACGGGGGGGCTAATGGTGTGTTACAACAAGAGGCATTATCCTTATTGTAGCTTTGATACAGCAGCTTCCACAAAAGCTAAATAAATAAAACAAAATGGGGATGGGAGACAAGTGAGATGGAGTTTGGGCATCTTTGTGTACCCTTTGGGTGGTATGAGGGTGATTTTGGCAGGATTCAGACTCCCAAGGTGTATTTGTTTTTGTCTTTATAGTTAGCATTGTGACTTTATTTGCAGCCCGTTTCTCATACTGATATTTTTTGGGTTGCAGATCTTTTCCTTTGTCGGCTATTTGGGTTATCTCCAAATTTGTATACAACTAAATTTCTTAACCTTTTCATCAAAAAGATACAAAAAAGTGACAAATAAACCTGAATTATAATAAACATTCAAGAGCCAGCAAAGCTACTATGACAAATTCAAATTAACATACTGAGCATTGACAGAACAATTTTTTAGAATTCAGAGTGTCAGGGATTTTTTTTCCCAACTGAAATACAACACCTCAAGGCACTCTATCCTTAATTGTAGAGCCACGTAAATTTGTACGGATAAAAATAGTACTTAAACTTCATTTATCAGATGCATTACATGAAGTTCACTGTCTGATCCTGGTTGTCACAGTAAATTATCTAAAGCATAGATTATTTGATCTCAATATGCATAAGCAGAGTGCATTGTACAAATTGCTACTATTCAAAATGAACTAAAAATGTAAACTATATAAACAAAAACCTGCCATAGTTACAAAATATGTACAGAATACATTAGCCGCTCCTATATACTTGTGTTAACTTGTGTTTTCTATTATTTTTCCTACCAGGTGGCTGATGCACAGCAGAAACAAATTGAACATGAGAAGACAGTCCTGCAACAGACCTTCCTGACAGAAAAGGAGATGCTGTTAAAGAAGGAGAAATTAATTGAAGATGAGAAAAAGAAGCTGGAGAGCCAGTTTGAAGAGGAACTCAAAAAGGCTAAAGCTCTCAAAGATGAACAAGAACGCCAGAGACGGCAGATGGAGGAGGAGAAGAAGAAACTCAAGGCTACCATGGATGCAGCCCTCAACAAACAAAAAGAGGCTGAAAAAGAGATGCTTAACAAGCAAAAAGAAATGCAAGAGCTGGAGAAGAAGAGACTAGAGCAGGAAAGGGTTCTTGCAGAAGAGAACCAGAAATTGCGTGATCAGCTCCAACAGCTTGAGGACGCAAAGAAAGACCAAAACACCAACATTCCAGGCAAAGAGCTCATCCAAGTAACATCGGTTATGACAACCAAGACTGTTTACAACGGCCAAAATGCTGGTGATTTGGCAGACGGTGCAGAGAAGAAACCAGATCCCCTATCATTTGATGGTATCCGTGAAAAGGTACCTGCCAGTAGACTTCATGAGCTCGGCCTTTTACCCAAGAAGGAGTTTGACAAGCTGAAAAATGGCAAAACCACTGTGCAAAAGCTTGGTGAGACTGAAAATCTAAAAAGAACCCTTAAAGGTAAAAATTGCATTGCTGGTGTTTTGACGCCATCCAAACAAAAGATGTCAATCTACCAAGCGTCAAAAGAAAAGAAGATTACTCCAGGCACAGCCATGATACTACTGGAAGCACAGGCAGCAACAGGTTACATCATAGACCCAATTAAGGATCAGAAACTTACTGTTAATGAGGCTGTCAAGGAAGGTGTGATTGGCCCTGAACTGCACAATAAAATGCTTCTAGCTGAGAGGGCAGTTATTGGCTACAAAGATCCATACACTGGTGGGAAGATCTCTGTCTGTGAAGCTATGAAGAAGGGTCTGATAGAGCATGATCATGCCATCAGAATCCTTGAGGCTCAGCTCGCTACTGGTGGCGTCATTGATCCTATCAATAGTCACCGTGTACCCAATGAAATAGCCTATAAACAGGGACACTATGATGCTGAAATGAACAAGATTATGGAGAAGCCTACAGATGATACAAAGGGATACTTTGATCCCAGCACTCAGGAACCTTTGACATATTCTGAGCTCATGACTAGATGCGTAGCTGACCCTGATACCAGTCTGCTACTCCTGCCTATAACAGACAAAGCTGCCCAGTGCTCAAGTATGTACACAGAGGAGGAGACAAAGGATGTATTCAGCAAAACCACTGTGTCTGTGCCATTTGGAAAGTTTAAGGGAAAGACTGTCACCATTTGGGAAATCATCAATTCTGAGTACTTCACTGAAGACCAAAAGAAGGACCTTCTTCGTCAGTACAAGACAGGCAAAATCACAATAGAAAAAATCATAAAGATTGTGATTACTGTGGCAGAGGACAAAGAGAAGAAGAATGAAATCACCTTTGACGGTCTGAGAGCACCTGTGCCTGCCACTGAGCTCCTGGAGTCCAAAATCATTGATAAAGACCTGTACAATAAATTGCACAAGGGAAATAAAACAGTCAAAGAGGTGTCTGAAATGGAACCCGTCCACAAAGCACTAAAGGGTACAAAAGGCATTGCAGGTGTAGTCATTGACTCATCCAAGGAGACCATGTCATTTTACCAAGCTATGAAAAAAGACATGATGAGGGCAGGACCTGCCTTAAATATGCTTGAAGCCCAAGCAGGTACAGCCTACATGGTTGACCCTGTTAACAATCAGAAGTACACTGTTGATGAAGCTGTCAAAGCAGGTGTTGTTGGTCCTGAGCTGCATGAGAAACTCCTGTCAGCAGAAAGAGCTGTTACAGGCTACAAAGATCCTTACACAGGAAAAACTGTATCTCTGTTCCAGGCAATGAAAAAAGATCTTATTCCTAAAGATCAAGGAATTCGACTGCTCGATGCCCAAACAACCACAGGAGGCATTATTGATCCTGTAAAAAGCCTTCGCATTCCTCATGATGTGGCATGCAAGAGAAATTACTTTGATGATGAAATGAAACAGCTTCTCAGCAGTCCAACAGATGAAACTAAATGCTTTATTGACCCCAACAAAAAAGAAAATGTCACTTACGCAGAGCTCTTCAAGAGATGTGTCACTGACAAGAAAACTGGTCTCCTGCTGCTGCCTCTTTCTGATGAAGCAATCAGTGCAAAGGAGGAGCCGACCTACACTGAGGCTCAGACTAAAGAGGCAATGAATCAGGCGACTGTCGAACTTGACTCTGGACCATTTAAGGGCAGGAAGATGACCATTTGGGAAATCCTCAACTCTGATTATCTCACTGAGGAACAAAGGCTTGACTTGCTAAGACAATTTAGGTCAGGAAAGCTTACAATTGAAAGAATAATCAAAATTGTTATCACAGTTGTAAATGAGAAAGAAGCCAAGAAACAGGAACAGTCCAGCTTCAAGGGACTTAGATCTCCTGTCCCAGCTAGCGTTCTGTATGATTCCAAAATCATTGACAAGCCAACCTTTGAACTCCTGCAGCAAGGCAAAACAACACCTAAAAAGGTCAGCGAGAATCCCAATGTCAATAAATACCTGCAAGGCTCTGAAAGCATTGCTGGCATCTACCTAGAGCCCACGAAAGAGACAATAAGCATTTATCAGGCTATGAAGAAAAAGCTCCTGAGACACAACACAGGTCTTTCACTGTTAGAGGCCCAGGCTGCCACTGGCTTCATTGTAGATCCAGTGAAGAATCAATGCGTGTCAGTAGATGAGGCAGTGAAGTCAGGCCTTGTTGGCCCGGAGCTACATGAAAAACTCCTCTCTGCAGAAAAGGCTGTCACTGGCTATAAAGACCCATTCACAGGCAACAAAATCTCCCTTTATGAAGCAATGCAAAAAGATCTCATCTTAAAAGAGCATGCCATGCCACTCTTGGAAGCACAGATGGTTAGTGGAGGAATCATTGACCCTGCAAATAGCCACCGTGTCCCTACTGATGTGGCATATCAGAAGAACATTTTGACCAAGAAAATGGCCAAAACCCTATCTGAACCATCTGATGATCACAAGGCTTTCTCAGATCCAGCGTCTGATGAGAGTGTGACCTACAGACAGCTTAAAGACAAGTGCCAAAAAGATCCAGAGACCGGCCTGTACATCCTTCCACTCTCAAAGCCTCAGTCTCCAACTGTTGTGGAGAAGACATACCTCTACACAGAGGAACAAACACAGAGTGATCTGACCAACACCCAAATTGACATTCCAATTGAGGGTCTTGCTAACCAATCAACGAACCTCTGGGACATCATGAACTCAAATTTGCTTCCAGAGCAGGAGAGGCAGAAACTCATGGATGAATATCGCTCTGGAAACATCACTAAAGAGCGGATGATAATCATTATTATCGAGATCATGGAGCAGAGAGAGGTCATCAAAAATGACCCAATGTCATGTAAAACTATAAGGAGAAGAATAACTGTTGATGAGCTCTACAATGCTCGCATTATTGACTTGGAAACATACAACCTCCTCAAACAGGGCAAGAGGGACATCCGTGACATAATGGAGTTGACCAGTGTGAAACAGTATCTCTACGGCACAGGCTGTGTTGCTGGGGTCACAACTGACTCAAGCACCAAGATAAGCATATACCAAGCAATGAAGAGAGGTTTCCTTAAACCAGAAGTTGCTCTCAGCCTCCTAGAAACTCAAGCTGCCACAGGTTTCCTCGTTGATCCAGTAAAAAATGAAACACTCACAGTTGATGAAGCTGTTCGTAAGGGTGTTGTTGGCCCTGAGATCCACGATAAGCTTCTTTCAGCTGAGAGGGCAGTCACAGGATACAAAGACCCATACAGTGGGAAAATCATATCTCTATTCCAGGCCATGAAAAAGGATCTTGTTCCAGAGGATTATGCTCTGAAAATGTTAGAGGCACAAACATCCACTGGTGGTATTATTGATCCTGAATTCCAGTTCCACCTGCCTGCGGACATTGCCATGCAAAGAGGTTATATCAACAAGGAAACCAATGAGAGGCTGACCGATGATGTCAAGGGATTTGTTGATCCTGTTACTGACGAAAAACTGTCTTACGCAGAACTGCTCAAAATATGCAAGGTTGAAGGAGGATTGCGCCTGTTGTCCCTGGGAGACAAGAGGCTGATGTTCAAGGGTCTGAGGAAACCGATCACATTGGAGGAGATGCTCCGCTCACAAATTATCGACCAGCAAACTGTCACTGAACTGAATGAAGGTCTAGTTACAGTGGAGGAGGTTAGTGATAGACTATCAAGATACCTTGTGGGCACAAGCTGTATTGCTGGTGTATTCTTAGAGTCCACAAAGGAACGTCTATCAATTTACCAGGCCATGAAAAAGAACATGATTAGGCCAGGCACAGCATTTGAACTTCTCGAATCCCAAGCATCCACAGGGTATGTCATTGATCCAATCAAAAACCTCAAACTAACTGTCAGTGAAGCAGTGAGAATGGGAATTGTAGGACCTGAGTTTAAAGACAAGCTCCTCTCTGCTGAGCGTGCAGTGACAGGATACAGAGATCCTTATTCAGGCAAAACCATCTCCTTGTTCCAGGCCATGAAGAAGGGGCTCATCCTGAAAGACCATGGTATCCGACTTTTGGAGGCCCAGATTGCCACTGGTGGTATCATTGACCCAGAGGAAAGTCATCGTCTGCCAGTTGAGGTAGCCTACAAACGTGGCTTCTTTGATGAGGAAATGAATGAGATCCTGACAGATCCATCTGATGACACCAAAGGCTTCTTTGATCCCAACACTGAGGAAAATCTAACCTACCTCCAGCTCATGGAGAGGTGCATCACTGATCCTGACACAGGCCTGGTGCTCCTGCTACTGAAAGAAAAGAAGCGGGAAAGGAAGACCTCCTCCAAGTCCTCAGTTCGTAAACGCAGAGTTGTCATTGTAGACCCAGAGACAGGGAAAGAAATGACTGTGTATGAGGCCTACAGGAAGGGGCTCATTGACCATCAAACCTACCTGGAGCTTGCTGAGCAAGAGTGTGAATGGGAAGAGATCACAATGACCTCCTCTGACGGTACTGTCAAATCCATCATTATTGACAGGCGGTCAGGGAGACAATATGATGTTGATGATGCTCTTGCACGTGGCCTTATTGACCAGAATGCTCTTGATACATACCGCTCTGGAAACCTGGCCATTACAGAATTTGCTGACATGCTTTCTGGAAACACCGGAGGCTTCCGCTCACGCTCATCCTCCTTTGGTTCCACTGCTGGTTCCACAACTGCTTCTACTTACTCTTCTTCCATGAGCCCCATACCCTCCATTAAACCACCTGCAGTCATATGGAATGATCCAGTAGAGGAAACTGGTCCCATAGCTGGAATCTTAGACATAGACACCCTGGAGAAGGTGTCTATCACTGAGGCCATTCACAGAAACTTGGTAGACAACATCTCAGGCCAAAGACTGTTGGAGGCCCAAGCCTGCACAGGCGGAATAATTGACCCCACAACTGGGGAAAGATTTGCAGTTGCTGATGCCACAGAAAAAGGCCTAGTGGATAAAATCATGGTTGATCGCCTCAACCTGGCCCAAAAAGCATTTAATGGATTCGAAGACCCCAAAACAAAAGTAAAGATGTCTGCATCCCAAGCTTTAAAGAAAGGCTGGTTGTACTATGAGGCTGGGCAACGTTTCCTTGAGATCCAATATCTGACTGGTGGACTTATTGAGCCTGATGTTGAAAACAGAGTGCCACTAGATGAATCCATAAAGAAGGGCTCAATTGATGCCCGAACTGCCCAGAAATTAAGAGATGTGAATTCATATTCTAAATACCTAACGTGCCCAAAGACCAAACTAAAAATCTCCTACAAAGATGCCATGGACAAAAGCATGGTTGAGGAAGGAACCAGTCTAAGGCTTCTGGAGGCCTCCTCACAGTCTAGCAAAGGCCTCTACAGTCCCTACAATGCAAGTGGTCCTGGATCTGCCTATGGATCACGGACTGGCTCAAGGACTGGCTCCCGAACAGGCTCTAGGAGAGGCAGTATCGATGCTGGCTCTGGCTTCAGCATGAATTTCTCATCGTCCTCCTTCACTTCCTCTTCATCTGGCTACGGCCGCAGATTCTAGTTAGCTAGTACTGTTCCTAACAACTTTTCACTAAGACCCAAAAATAAATAGTAACATTAACAAAGAATATATAATTTATTTATTCTGCCCTAGAAATGGTCACACAGATTTACCAATCATACAGATTTTTTTTCATATATAAATGATGTCTAAACATTTATGAAAACATAACAAGCATTTAGATATATAAGATATTTTTTTCTTTAGTACAGATCACAAAGTTAATATTTTACAAAGCAAAGCATGACATTTCTGCTATTTCTTAAAGTGACCTTATAGTTTCCATTTCACACTTGTGAAAAAAGTTGTACACTTGTGCCTTCTAAAACTAATATATACTGTATGTATGTCAAATGGAAATATTTTTTGATAACTATTTCCTTTGAAATCCAAAAACATTTGTCAGTTTTACCATTTATCCCAGTCCTACTTAATGAGATACTGTTTGTGTTAACTCCGTGTTTTTAAGAGGTTAAAAAAAAGAATTAGATTCTTCAAATATCTTTTTCTATGTAAAGATTATGAACATACTTGTTCTTTTTTTTCAAATTAGCTGTGGCCTCATCATCATATCATACCCACTAAGAATACACAATTTTGACACTACTAAAGGAGACACTACAGGAGAACACAAATATCAAGTGTCGGAAATGAAAATATGCAGACTTTTCTGAAAACAATTTGATTTTTTGTACTTTGAATATCTTATCTAGTGGACTTTCGCATCCTTTGACTTCATTAATCCATTGTTTTACACACTCCAATTTTTGGAATCTTTATATTCACCATTTTTTAAGTGTCCCCTTTAAATCCCAAGATGATGTCAGAATTGATCCTGATCTACCATACAGACCTGCTGCCTGTTATTTTGGTTCTTGTAAGTTGAATTATTTTTGGTTTATTTGTTTATTTGCTTTTTGTATTCAGTTGATTCGTAGCACATCTCAGAACATTAATTATTGCATTATTTCATGCCATTTTCTCCATCTTCACCCACTACCGGAGAACCTTTTTATTGAAAATATTCATTACTGCATATTGAGAGCTCTTTATTCTGTTTCTTTGTTTTACAGCTGCCTCAGTCCCTCAATATGATACACACAGATCCTCAGCTGGTTGGAGAAAACAATCCCTTCAATTTGGATGGTTTAGGGAGTCCATGTCACCCTCATCCAGTTAGACAGGTAGAGTATAAAGTCAAAAAGATAAACATTAACATTATAAATGTGAATAATTGGTTTTTTTTTTTTTTTGCTGCATGGCTTGGTTCATTTTTCATTTCATTTGAAATCATAGTTATTTTCTTTTGTTCCTAGATCTGCCTTGTCCTTTCTTCCATTGCACATCATATTTGAAGAAAACTGAGGCTGAGTCAACCTGACGCCATCTTGGGATACTTTTTAGGAACACCTCTCATTCTTGAAGTTATTTTCATATTTATTTTTTTTGCATGCTAATCGTGCTGTTTATGCTGTTATATCCTGACTTTTTTTTAGAGAAGACTCAGAAAGCATACACACAGCATCAGTCATTTTAATTTAATTGGGATTACAGTAGTATGTTGTAATAGAACAGCATGTCTTCATAAAACTGAACCTGAGTCCACTGAGTATATTTTTGTATTTTCTCTCTGTAAATTTAAAGCAACCAAAGTGCTAATAAGATACATTTGGTATTTAAACTATTTGATACAGCACAACATTGCGTGAATGTATGTTTTCTTTTTGTTCATTTGCTCATTTCAGTTGAAATTTTGTCACATATTTCTTTTGCATTGAAGCCTTTTTAGCCTACAGCTATATTTCCCACTACAAGTGTTTCTGTTATGTATCTCTCAAATGTTTTACTTCTGTAAATGTCTTCAATTTGTTTTTTTATTTGCTATGCATGTTTTACATTTATAAAGGATACTGGGGAAATATGTTAGTGTAAAATAACACAAGAAACTGCAGATATCACTGTGCTGATTTTGAATTTGACATATAGAAGTTCACAAACTAACTGGTCCGCTTTGCTTATGAGACCGATATTGCTTTGAATGATGTGGTGAGTGGATTCTGATGACTTTCTGAAAATAACACTATGTTGTAAATAAATATGCTCTAAAGAGACTTTCTTGTCGTTCATATAACAATATAAATGCAACCTAAATTAAATGTAAAAAGACCTGCTTTCTGAAATTCAATCAATCAATCAATCAATTTGTATTTTTATAGCGTCAGCTCCAAATTACATTGGAATTAAGAGAACATTTTAAACTAAGGCACTTCACTTAATGGGTCAGAAAAAGTCAGCTAACACATGCACTTATTTAGGTGCTGAGTCGTGAAAAACATCACTAGTTATGATGCACAAAGACTCGCAAGTCGCAACACTCTGGCTCCCAAAGATATACTTATTTATTTGCTATTTGCATAAAATAACACAACATTTTGGAACACACCATCATCAGATGCTGTCCAAAAAGCAGGTTTGGGTGTAATATACCAAAATCATGGAGTCCCACCCGAGGGTGTGGACATCAAAATAGAGCAAATTAGACAGAGCTTGTTGCACTTTAAATAATGCCCATTTTCCTATAGCTTCTTATTAAAGCAAACCAATGTTGGAGCTAGGGCTGGGCTTTATGGACCAAAACTCATATCTCGATATTGTTTAGCTGAATTACGATACTCAATATATTTATCAATATTTTCTTCTTTAAAGAAATAATAAAAACAAAGTAAGTTCTAAGATAAATCCACATGGTCCAAACGCTAAATGTGTTTCATTAACAGTCGGCTGCACAATGTCCACATGGACATGAAAAATGACAAAGATGAACTAAAATAGGTGACACTTAACAATATTTTAATGCAACATAAACAATAGGGACTTGTTTGAAAATATAAATCGATATATCTTAAAAACTAGATAGTGCCCCGCCCTTGGAGCACAACAATGATGGAGCAATTATTTCTAAATATGAATATACAGTAAAGAAAAGATTCAAGGAAAAGTAATAGCCTTGTGTCTTGCTCCTAGGTTAAAAAGTTAAAGGTTAAATATTTTATGAGCCAAACAATACACCAGTGATAGCATTTTCAAATACTGTTTCTTTACAGCTTCACAGAAAAATGCATGCAAAGAGTGATACATTGTCGTATTTTTATGCTAGTAAGGGCACAAGTTGACCACAGGAGGGCAGTGTTAGCATAACCTACACTCTCCCCAAAAAGAAGCAACAGAATCAGGTGAAACAGCTACACGGTCCAAACACCTGCCTGACACACTGAGTTCTATGTTTCCTATAATGATTATCTAGAAGTCAGAGTATTAAGTCAATAATTGTTCTTTTAAAGCCCGATGATGTTGCATTACTTCCTACATAGACGAGGACCTTTACTATCTCCCCTTTAAAATTTGGCTTTGTCAAAGAAAGCTGTTCCGATCATGATTTCAAAAAACCCCAATACTGCCAAAAGAACATCATTAAAAATCACCTCCCCATTGCATATTTTTGGTAATGCATGTGGATTTACCTTCTAGGTCAGTCAAACCAGATGTAAACACTTTCTTGATCTCTATGCCAACACTAGCCACTGGTTTTGATGGAGGAGCCTGCCAACAGAAGAAACGGGGCATTCACCTCCCAGAATTCTTCACTCAGCTCCCTTGACTACTCTGACCTGAGCCTCTCTCTGCCAGCTCTTCCTGCACCAGAAGCTGGAGGCAGGGAGGTAAGAACACAGAGAAGAGAGGTTCATCAAAGCCTGTAGACATATAATGAACTGTTGAATGCACAGTACCAGCTCAAGCAGCTGCAAAGGCTTTACTGTAAGTAAGCAATATATAAGAATTGGTGCAAGTATTTTGTCTGTTTTTTTTTTTCAATGTTCTTATGCAGGATAAAGAAAATGCTGTATTTGGATCATCACCAACATCAGTGGATCAGAGATATGGGTATGTTTCCAAAGAAAAAAACAACAAAACTACACCTTAAGAGTTATCTTATTTAATTTAGAAAATCTATCTTTCTGAGAGTCAAACCTCCAGGAAATACAAAATTATGAGTTTGTCCAAAGTTAACAGTAATTGGTCATTAAAAATGAAGATATGTTGGAACTTTATTTTAATTAACACAAATTTGGCAATGGAAGTAAGACTTGCTTAACTGAAAGTGACCACCAACAGTCATCCTGTGTGACCACAGTTAGTCAACTGTGTCAGTTCTGTAGACCGGTTCGTCTGCATTTACTCACAGTACAAAGACACTTTGATTAGTGAAGAGAGCACATCTGATTGAAACATACTGAAACAAGAAGACTGATGTTCCAGCTCAGCAGAGAGAGAGAGAGGGAGAGAGAGAGAGAAAAAAAAAGTGCAAGTGCCTCCCTAATGAGATGTTTTCCAAAGCCCTGGTTACTTTATATTTGATAAGAGTAATGTTCCCTGACAGCTCTGTTGTAACTTCTTTCTGCTGTGGTTAAGGTCATGGTTTTGCTATTGTGTCTGTCCTCTCTATTTTCTCCTTCCTGTAACCAAAGATCCAGCCATACAGTGTTTTATATTAACATATGAAGCAAAGAAGACTACAAAATTGTATAGAACTACAGTATAGCAGGACAAGTCAAAATGTCATTATCAATAAATATATAATGAAGATATTCCAAAATGCAATCTAAAATACTTCTCTCTGTTTTAGGAGGGATGAGGAAGACCTAAGTCAATGGCAGTGTGAATTCAGAGGTCAAATCAGGGCACTGAGACAGTGGCTGAAGAGTATGGAGATGAGGTTGCCTCCTCTGGACCCCGGGGTTTGTTTAGTTTATTCTCTGTCTGATTTTTCATCATCGTCATCATCATCATCCCTCTATCATCCACCACATGACATGTTGACATTGAAAAGTTACATTAAATGTATTTCGCAGAATCTAAATCATCAGATTCAGTTGAAAAAGTGCTTTATGTATTTCTTTTACTTTATTTTCTATCTTAATAACGGTTATACGAAGGACAGTGCGGCTGTGCCTCAGTGGTTGAGTCTCTCAACTGGAAGGTTGGGGGTTCGATCCCCAGCTCCTGCAGCTTGTCCATCCTCTTTGGGCAAGACACTTAATCCCACTAGCTCCTGCTGCTTCGTTGGCAGCATGTGAATGTGTATGAATGGATTAGCTAATAATGATTGACACTTAACAAAGCAGCCTCTGCCACCGGCGTGTGAATGTGTAGGTGTGACCTGCAGTGTAAAAGCACTTTGAGTATTCAAAAGACTAGAAAAGTGCTTACAAGCTCAAGTCCATTTACCTTTTAGACTTTCTTTTAGACATATTTTCAAACTTCACATGAAATTAAATCCAACTGCCATGCCTTATACACTCTCGCTCTCTATCGCTCTCTCTCTCTCTCAAATTTGCTCTCGCTCACTATCTCTCATTGTGTAAATGTGTCAAGTCTGGTTATTCTGAAGATTAGAAAGAACCTTGTGAACCTTGTGTGGCCTTTATGTTTTCATCACACTGGGAGCAATATCATCAAGTAACAGAACTCTACAGCAGAGTTAGTGACTCTGCTCTCAGACATAGCTGAGCTGGAAGCTAAATGTTAGCATGCAAACATTTTTATTAAACTAAGGTTAACACGCTGATATAGTGTTGGCTTTACACTCCCAGTTCCCTGCTGAGGCTGATGGGAATGCCTTTCCTTTATTGGTAAATGTAATTTTTGAAAATGTAGCTCAAAGAAAAGTCCATCCTGTGCAGAGCATAAACATCTCCAGAAAACGTTTGGCAACCTTTTGACCTAAACACTGGATTAAATGCGCTTTAAATCATCACAGGGTGCTGCTTAAAAAAAAAAATCTCGATAATCAGCAGACTTCATCCTCTAAGGATTATTCATTTGCCCCATATTTCATGGTAAGCCATACAAAAGTTGTTGATATCCTGTCTGAAAAATAGTGGACCAACCAACAAATCTATTTAACATTGTTATCTCCAGAGCTACATCACCGGCAAAGCTAAAAAAAACAAAAAACAAAAGGATTTTAAAAACAACAACTTCCAACTGAAGAAACAAGAACATACAAGGATTTAAATTGAAAATGGTTAAAATTTGGGGCAATTGGGAGGGACATTCACAGCCAAATGTTGGTTGAACTCTAGTTTGACTCAAAATTAAACCAGTCAGTTGTTTTCAACTTCATTAAACCCAAAAAAGGATGCAGACTCATGTTTGACTTTAGATTGAGTTTACTGTTTTCCTTTTTTTGGATTTATTATCCATAGTAATTCATTTGTTTCTCCCATTCAAATGCCCCATGAAGCATCCTGTAATTGCACCATCCCATTATGTTTATGGGATGGTTTGTGTTAGGGTTAGGGTTATGTTATGATAAAGAAAACAAGAGACAATAAATGATCCAATACATGATGCTAGTCAGCATGCTAACACTTCAGTTAATTGAGCATTACCAAAAAAGAAGAAGAGGATAGAGACTGGATTTTTTTTAAAGTCAGACATACTCAGAAGGATACTGAGGTGGTCCTCCTCCACTCCTGCAGAGAGACTTCTTTAGGCCACAGGGGGACAGAGGGGATGGGGGATCAGGCTCCATTGTGCCTGGCCTGGACAGCCAGGCCACAGAAGTGCTTGGCACTGGAGGCCCCCTGCACACATGAGCGCACACTCTGAAAAGACATTAGACTCAGATGGGAGGAAGAGGCAAGGGGGCAGAAAAAAGAAGAGCTGGATCTTTATGGTAAGAGCTCTCTGATCAGACTATTGAGGCATTTATTGAACACCAACTGTAGATTTTGTTATACAACCAATTGTGCAAACATCTATTCAAATATCTGTCAGTTGAAGCTGGGGCCACAAACTGAGTTGCTGGCCAAATCTCTGAATGGCAAAAAGAAGACAGAAATAGCATCACATTGTGTGGCTGTTTGGTCATGACTGTTCAGCAGGTTTGCTAATAAGCTAACTTTAGCTCTAGCATTTTTTGCATTTATGCTACTCCCATCAGGTCTAAACCAGCTAATGCCATAACCTTTTTCTCAACAGCAGGTTTGCCTTATTATAACATTTGGATTATGGCAATTAAATCAGCACATTTTCTCAAATAGTTCAC